CTTTAGTTTTTGGGAAAGAAAAAAAATCACAAGAAGACAAATTTGAAGAAAATGCAGGACGATTGAGTACACATACTTATTTTCGGAACACAAGCGGTTCTCCGACTGGTTATTGAATAATGAAAAGATGCATTGTCATGCAATACAAAACATTTGGAATACGTTTTCTGACTGAAAACGTAAGATTAAAAGTCATCTGCTATTCACAGCCATTTACAAGTCGCAATTGCAGAATCGTTTTGATCCTGAGCTTGTAAGACAAACCTAATATCACTGGATTTAAACACTTCTTTAATCTTCCGAGAACATTCCTTCTTTAGCTCATATTCCAAGAATATTAAGTGAATACAATTATTGCAAAAGAAATTGAATAGCACTACGGCTTGGTAGTTTACTAACGAGTTAACAAAACTTAAATTCTGCTTTTTGTGTCTAAGAATACAACAATATTTTAAATATTTACAAATAAAATATTAAATTGGAGATTTAATTGGAAGCCTCACCAGTTGCCTAGCATTTGAAGATTGTTAAATACTAATTGTTTGTTGCGAAGTCTAACCCAGGCTGCATGGTTGGTTTTCGTAGTTTTCTAGGTTCTCTTTACAAAGGTTCTCTATGAAAGCATCTTAATCAAATAGCTCCCATGTTCCCATGTTCAAATAACCAACTAACCTAGTTTTAGCGCGATTTCCAAGGGAAGTTACTAGCAAAACCCGAATACTCATTAAAAATCATGTAGCTTGCCAATCGGGAGTAACATGAAAGATACGGCGCCAATAATTGAATTGCTGTTACGGTACGCTGTTTCTAAACTTAGATGGTCATTCCTTAATTAAATAGCCTAGCAGCGGCGGAGCGGTAAGAACGCTGAACACTGGTAGTTCGGTCCGAGGTTCGAATCCTGCGAACAGGCTGGCCGCATGGGTGTTTTCGTGGTTTTCCCCATGTGTAACGTGTATACGAGCCAGTTTTCCTTAGAAAGTCCTCCACGAAGGCATTTCTCTCTTTAGGCAGATAGCCCTCGTGTGCTTTGCCATAATTAAATAATCCAATCCAATCCAATCCAATCCTTAATTCAATATAATTGATTTGTAAATTCTACTAGAACTGACGGTAAGAATTGAAATGCAAATAAATAATATTGCGTGAAATCTTGATTAATATAAAATTAAAAATATTTGCACAGAAAAATATTTGCATTCAGACAGAAAGTTTTTTGAAATATTTGCAATTACTTTATAAGAAAGATTTATTAATAACCGTAATAATTACTTATTACGAGATATTACTGATGGTTAGGATTCAGTTCTTGACAATTACATTCCAAATTAGGATTTTAAGGATATAATGAAAATACGCTACGCACAAAAATACATTTTAGGATAAAAAATGAGTTGATTTTTTATGTTTTAAATCTTCTTAAATTCATTTAATAAACATCGTATCCTCGTTGTTAATTGAATCCAGAATGTTGTGTGTCGTTTATATAATTATTCTTACTCGTCCACAGAAGCTGCTGATTTATTCAGCCATTAAGTAGCTGCAAATCATTTCTACATAGCCATTGAACTTCCACAAATTCAGTCTCTAGAGGGTTGTATGTTTATATCATAATTTGACTTATATAAATGATTATTCTAAATGTTATATTTCTATAAAAATATACTGCGCTTTAAAAATATGGATGATAGTATCAGCTGCTCTTTCAGCCACTTCAAAAGCAGCAGTTTGTTTAGAAGTAAATTACTCAGTTAATGTCATAAAATTCAAATAAACATCAAACGAAAATTCTCAGTTTTAGACAATTCGATTTAAGCGAAGTAAAGTAGCAGACGATAAAACGCGGAAAGTAAAAATTTACTCTTACATAAAATTTACTCTTATTATTATTTTTTTTTAAAGATAGAGAGAAATTTTAAAAAAATAGTTAAAAATTTGAATAATATCATCTATAATTTAAAAAAATAGCTTTTCATATAGTATTAATAAATATTTATTACGCATCATTGAGGGAAAAAATGTCATATAATTAATTCTCCGTAAAACTTTACTTGAAATTTAAGGTTAAAAATAGCTGTGGCAATTCACTGTAACAAAAATCCATAGACCACATCTGGCGTTATTATCGCTCAAAAAAAAAGATGCCAAATTTAAAAACGCAAAAATATGTAAATTCTTGTATATCTTAGAAAATTTTGAATAAAAAAGTCTAATTTTTTGCAGATATGCTTAAAAATACACCTACTTTAAGATGATGGTATAAATTTTATAGGTTATAATTCAAAATTTTTTTCGAAAAATTTATATAAAAATTATTTAAAAATAGAAATTTAAAAAATAAAACGCAAAAAATGGGTAAATTTTATTTGGAATGAACCTAAATTTCGAAATGTGAGAGAAAAATCAAAAAAGTTTAATAAAAAAAGAGATATAATAAATATTTGCCAAATTCAATTAACATTGAGGAGCTAAAATTTTGAAAGCTAATATTTTAAAAACTACTCTTACGATTTTTACAAAACTTGGTATTCTGGCATAATTTGTGTCGTAGAATCGAAATATGTAAAAAAATTGGTATGTTATTTCAGAAAAAGTCCGATTTTGTGTCAAAATACGTATGTTAGAATAGTGCTATATATAAATCTAATATATATCCTAAGTCGCGCTTTCGAGACATGAAAATCGCAGTTTGAATTTTGTCAATCGGCCCAGTTGAACGGGAGATATAGCACTCTCCCATTTTTTTTTTTTGAGCAGTGTACATCTAGTTTGAAATTAAACTGCTTTCAGTATAAAATCTTGACTAAATTCACCAAGTTCGTGATTGTTGTCAAAGTATACGCCAACTTCAATGTTGCTCAACATTGAGTAACTGCTTGGATTAGATTGAAAACCAATTCTGAAGTATCTGCTGGCGCCATCTAGTGAAAAATTGTAAATTTAGCAATTTATGCGTGGTTTGAAAAATCGACCACATGAATAAAGAAGCCCATATTATTTACAATAAAATACAGCGCAAATATTTTTTGCAAACGATTTTCCATCTATGATCGAAAGAAATAAAATGCTTTACTACATTCACTTAAATTTTAAGAAAAGCAAGAATATATCGCCATTTACAAAAAATGTTTTGAGTATTGTATATGATTCATTAGTATTTAAATTTAACTTTCAGCGCTTGAACCATAATTTTATGAATTCCATCTTCCATTTTAATACATGAAGCAATTCCAAGTTTTGGCATTTTAAGAATTTAAGATAAAATATTTCACATGAAATATATGCACTCAATAGCTTGTGAATAACTAGAATAACTAGATTCCTCATAAAGCCTGTTAGAAAGTAAAACGTTTCATAGCAGTAAGAACGGTATATTTTTAAAAGCAAAATTATTTAGAAAGTACACATTTCCTAGAAGCATAGTTGAAGAAAAATAATGTATCTTTACTATCAGAAACATAATAAAATTTATTTGGCGGAAAATTAATATTTATCGCTGTTGAGATAACCTAAAATTTTATTAAGAAGCTATGATAGTGTGGCTTACTGAAACGGTTTCTATTCGCAACAGAGTTAACATTTTTTCTCTCTTTTAGACGCTTAATTTTTATAGTATTTGAATAACTTATTTTCAACGATTTTCACAACTGTATACCAGAATGACTATTTAGATTTTAAATTACTTACTTCAGTCACTAGCTGAAATTAGAGCTTCTCTGTCTCAGAGGCGACTGTGAAGATTTCAAAACGAATTAAACACGGTATTTACAAAAATCCATGCGCGGCTTTTATTTTCGCAACCGTTGGTCTTAGACAAACATTTTCAGTTACAAAAGTGTTTTAAATGACACAAATATTCATGTTTTCGTACTTAAATTAAAAAAATTGTATAAAATACAAAATCTAACTTTTCTCCAGTCCCTATATCTAAATTTAGAAAATTGTCTACTCAAAAAAAAAAAAAAAAAGTTTGAGTCCCGTGTAACAAAAACTGACCGAGATATTTGATTTCAAAATTTTCAAAAACTGCATTTTAAATTTGCAATATGTGGTCGGTAATGAATTAGAACACTTCGAGATTGATTTTTTTTCGCTTTAAGTGTGATTCAATAACATTGTTTTGTGATTTACTGATGTCTTTACCTAAAATTTTGTTACATTTGCTATGCCTAAGGTATCTTTACCTCTCTCTCTCTCTTTTTTTTTTTTTTTTTTTTTTTTTTTTTTTTTTTAACACCGAAAGGAAATTTTTTAAGTCCGAAAATGAGTTTGTTAATGTTCTCACGAAGTTTTATTACTTTAGAAATATAATCTGACAAACATGAAAAAGTCATTAAAGAATAGATATATTTCACTTTTAATTTATGAAAATACTATTACGAGTTGACCTGAGCCAATACTGAAGACTGGCAATCTTTTTTAGCACACAAATAGTATAAAATTCTGTGAAAAATCTTCATTTTGAAAAAAAAAAAAAAAAAAAAAAAAAAAAAAAAAAAAAAAAAGCTGCATTGATCAATATTTTTAATAATAACCTGCGTACGAAAGCTCGTTGCGTACTTTATTAACATCAGAAAATTTATTCTAAATGATACTGAATTTTTATTTACATAACAAATGCATATATTTTGCTCTTTAATTTGTGTTTGGTCCCTGAATATGATTCCCGATTTTAATACCAACTGTCTCCGTAAATTTTGAGTAACAGGAGTCAAAATTTTTGTGTTTTATTTGTTATAACGAACACAAAATTTTCCTAAATATAAGTCTAGGGATTGAGGGAAGGAGTAAGAGCTAGACTTCGCCATTCTTACAAAATTGATTTCATTAAATTAAAAAGGTCTGCGTCATTTAAAACATTTTTATTTGGTAGTATATTTACGACCAAACGGTCTGTGGACACGGTGTACAATGGAACCTTTGTAATCATCCCCTCCAGTAAAAGAAATAAGAAAAGGAAGAATACTGAAATGTCTGCTCTTTCATTTTTGGAAAGTTACCTATTTTCTTTGGGATCGTAACAGTCAATTTGCGCAGTAGCTTGCAGATCGATTTCGTTATCTGGTTGAATGAGACCTCCACCGACCCAGATTCTACAGTTTAATGCAGCGATGCCCATGGCCTTTTTGCCACAACACATTTCCGAAGTGTGTAATTGCCATCGATCTCGTTTGAAGTCATATATTTCCATAGTTTTATGAAGCCTGAGGAAAAAAGAAAACAAAGTCAGGTTATCAGTTGAATTCAGGAACTAAATTTAAATAAACAATCATAATCAAAACTTAAAAAACCATATCAGATTCGGCAACATTTCCTGGAAACCAGTTTGAAGGAAAGGTTTCAGTCGCAATATTTGCGATATTTAATTATGCTATTCGAAATGACATATTGTGTATAATTCAACTATTTAGAATGAAAGTGGATGGTCTTGGGAAGCAATGCGAAAGGAACTGGCTGAATACCATCATGGACACAAAGTTTATAGAAATATTGAGTATGTTGCAGATTTTGGGAATTTAGGCAAGTATTATAGCAGAATAAAAGGCCTATTTAATTCAGAAATATTTGCGAAATTTCCAACTCCCTTCCAACAGGTTCTTCAACTGTAAACTTGAATTAGGAACTGCTCCCGATCCGTTACAATCCATTAATGCTCCCGATGGCAAAAATGGATTCTGGGTATCTATGTTCTACGTTCTTTTTCATTAGCTGAACACCCCCTTTATGCCATCCTAAATGCAACATTTTGGATTTTGAAGCAAACTGAAGCATCTACGAATAAAGTCGAGCTCTCAAACGAATAGCTGTTTCAGAAGGTTCCTAGACTTGACTCATACTTGAAAACTTGAATCTCATAGACTGCTAACCTTTTTCAGTAGATGGTGGTATTACAAATTTAATCATTTAATTTAATTTATCTTTTTCATCTACTTGATAATCTCGCATTTTCGAAGCAAGCTGAAGACATTAAATGCTGAAGAACTTAACAATCTACATACAGTCGGCTATTTTTAGCTATTAATAATTTTAGATTTCTTAAATATTTTGAGTGACGCAAATTTATGTTATGTAAATAATGTCACTAGAACAAAGTTCGTTAGATTAAGTTACTTGACTACGGCAAAGCACACGTGGGCTATCCACGTAATGGAGCGATTTCTAAGGGAAACTAGGACGGATTCCCGTTACACACGAGGAAAAACATGAAATCCAAATATGCAGCCAGCCAATTAAATATTTACTGAAAGAATCAGTAATTTATCAATTTCTTGGAAGACACTTTCCCTGAATACTTGACGATAATTTTAGTTATTGCGATATCTTTGACTTCTAATTACTGTCGTAGAACTAATCATTTCATTATATTACGTATTTTACACTAAATATTAAAATTTCTGATTTCAAATTAAAATCTCTAATTTACATTAAATTTTATCTATAGCCTATTACCTTCATTTCAATAAAACAGTGTTTACTGCAATGTGTAAGTGCCACTGATTTCTTTACCTTTCTCCATCGCTTTGCCCACCGATGGCGTACATCAGTCCATCTAAAGCAATTAAGCTGTGATCATACCTCGGAAAATGCATATCTGCCAAATTTGACCACGTCTGAGTGCGTAGATCGAATTTAAAGCAAGATCTTCTAGGGATGTAACGACACTGCTCCACCGTGTCATAAGGATCACAGCCACCTACAAAATTTCATAATTTTAGTATTTGGGATATGGCTGGTTTTATGAATTTGGTGAATGATATTTGTTATAAAATAAGGTTTCGTAATTTTATAACTAGTAAAATGCCTTATAAAAGGAAAAACAAATGTGAACGTATTTAGAATTTTATACCGCTCCAGAGGATTTATTGAGCTTTTTTTATGTTAAAACTTAACAGGCTACCAAACTGTTCTTGGACACACGTCTGTTAACACAATTTTTTTTATTATTAATAATAAAATTTAATAATAAAATTTTTGGTGGTCATTTTAGTTTTATTATTAAGCATTGCTTTCTTCGCACTTACGCATTTTAAAATTCAAGAGCAAAATCACAAAATATTAAAAAATAATATTTCTTTAGAATTCTCGATAAAGTGTTAAGAGATGCCATTCATTTTTGTATAATCACTATATTATTTCTTTCAAAACCAGTTGCTCAAGCTGCCAGTCGCCTAAAAGAGTTATAATTAAAAGAAGAAAAAGTATATAATTATTCTAATGAGTTCAGCTAGTGCCGTTTCATAAAAATACTTAATCTTACCAATTATAGATCTGGTGGTTTAAATGCAATTTTATTTAAATTAATCAGATTAAAAAGTAGAACAAATAGTTTTAAGAATTAAATCGGTTGCTTTCAATCGCTTGGTTTGCTACTCAGTGGTAGAAAGATTCAAGTTCAAATTTAGCCCACCAGCGGCCGAGCGGTAAGGTCACTGAACACTGGTAGTTCGGTGCGAGGTTCAAATCCCGCGAACGGGCTGGCTGCATGGGCGTTTTCGTGGTTTTCCCCATGTGTAACGTGTATACGAGCCAGTTACCCTTAGAAAGTCCTCCACGAAGGCATTCCTTCCCTTGAGCAGATAGCCTTAGTGTGCTTTGCCATACTTAAATAAACCAAACCAAGTTCAAATTTAAATATCTCACATTTTATTGAATGGCAACACACTGATGAGTGCAGATAAAAACATTCTATTTGAAGCAGTCAGCATATTGCTTTTAAATAGCCAAACTGGTGGATTAAAACTGAAAGATAAATATCTTACATTTTGCCGAATGGCAATAGTCTGGTGTAAGGTAGAAATGGTAAAAATATTACTTTATTTCGAAGTGTCACCACTCCTCGCTTTCAGATTGCTGAGTTTGGAAACACAAGTTCGTTATATCAGTTCAAAATAGGAAATAAATTTAAAATAAATTCGAAATTCATATTTCATTAGTCGAGGTGTCCATATTCCGGTAAAGTAATCGTGTACTCGGGACTTCTGGTAATGAGCCAGATTTACATTCAGATTTTTTTTTTTTGGACTTCAAGGAATGTGGCAGATTTATATCCTAATCTCTTTATGCAATTTCAGCAGTATATTATTAGGAAAGAGGGTAAGAAGCAGATTTACGCTCTGATTTCATTTTTTATACACTTCCAGCAATATACACACTGATTTTATTTATTTACGGACTTTCAGTAATGTGTTAGACATGCAGTCAAATTTTATTTTTCATGCTATCCCAGTAATGCGACTACACTACGAGAAGCAGGTGGAAGAGAAGGAGATTTACACTCAGATATTATTTTTTACGATCCGGCAATGTGCCGGATTTCACTCTGATTTTAATTTTTATAAACTTTCAGCAATGTACATTGCGAAATTGGGACAGTTCCTATATCTCTCGTTCTACTGGACAACATATGTATTTTGACTAACATAGGTCATTGCTCTAACATAGGTATTTTGACACAAAATTGGACTTTTTCTGAAATAATATACCAATTTTTTCCATATTTCAATTCTGCGACTCATATTACACCTATATATTAAATTTTGTAATTTTTGGTGAGAAATTTAAAAATTTATCTGGAAAATTTATTTCAGTTTGCCATTATTCATTAGGCAAACTTCTTAATTTCTAGCAACCTATTTTTCTTTCCTTCATTGTCTACGAGAGAAAAATTGCTCATACTTTCAAATAATTTTAACAAAGTGCGTAAACCATATTTTCGTTATTATCGCTTATAATAAATATACCAAATTTCAAAGCGCGCCAAAATGTAAATTCACGTATATCTTAGGAAATGTTGAATAAAAAACTTTAATTTTTTGCAGGTATGCTTAGAAATACATCTGCTTTAAGATGATTACAAAACTTTTATAGGCTATAATTCAAAATTGTTTTCGAAAAATTTATAAAAAATATTTAAAAATACAAATTTTAAAACTAAATTGTAAAAACAGGTAAGTTTTATTCGGAATGAACGTAAATTTTGAAATATGAAAGGAAGAATTAAATAAGTGTTACAAAAAAAGAGATATTAATAAATATATATCAAATAAAATTAGCATTGAGGAGCTAAATATGTGAAAGCTAATTTTTTAAAAACTCCTCTTGAGATTTTTACAAAACTTGGCAATTTGGCATAATTTGAGTCGTATAATCGAAATATGAGAAAAAATTGGCATGTCATTTCAGAAAAAGTCCGATTTTGTATTTAAATACCAGTATTAGAACAATGTTATATACTATAAATCTAATACATATCCTAAGTTGCGCTTACGAGACATGAAAAACGCAAGTTGAATTTTGTCAATCGGCCCACTAGAACGAGAGTATAGAACTGTCCATTTTTTTCCCTTCGTGTACCTACGTATGAGGAGGAAGAGATAATGTAGAGGAGGAGTATGAGGAGGAGAAGAAAATAGCTAGATTATCTTTGAGTCAAAATCCTTAGTTCCATCATTTTAAAAGGCAAAAGGACATTTAAACTCTGATTTAAAATTTTTGGATTTCCAGCAGTATTTTAGATTTACGAATTTAAGTTTATTTTTATGGACTTTTAGCAGTGTGCCTACATTAAAAGGAGAAGGTGAAGGGGATAAGATAAGATAAGATAAAGGGGTAGAGGAACAGACTAACAATGAGATTTACGTTTTTTTCCATGACTTTCCAACTATATGCCATATTTACACTCTCGTTTGTTTTCATGGACTTCTATCCATGAGTCTACGTTTCGATTAGAATGAGAAGGAACGGATGGAAGATAGGAGAAGGACATATAGTGTCTGTATATATTTTTAATGCTCTTCGAACAATTTATTAGAGTTGCATTCCGATTAATTTTCATGGACTTCCAGCAATATGCCTATATTAGGGCGAGGGAGAAGAGGAGTAAAAGGAGGTAGAGATTTATACTCAAAGTTTATTTATTATGCACTTTGAGCAATATGCCTTTTTTGTCATTTTATATTTTATGGACTTCTGGCAATGTGCACACATTAAGAGAAGGATTACATATTGATTTTAATTTTTACATATTTCTAGAAATATGCCAGACTGGATTCTTATTTTATATTTTATGGACTTCAAGCAATCTACCTATATTACGAGAAGGCAGAAGAGAGCAGAAGAGGAAAATGCGCAGGAGGAGGATATAGCTTGGTTTTTCATAAAATCTTAACTTCTTATTTCAATCTTTTTAAAATGAGGAGAGGAGGAGAAGGTGAAAACATGCAATTATCCTCTTAATAATTATTATATGTCTACATTTCTATTTTATCGTTTCTACACTCATGTCCATAAATTAAAGATAATGCAAAATCAGGCAAAGGAAGAGTTAGAAGCAAAACAAATTTGACTTATTTGTAAAGCTTATTTATTAAACAAAAGGTAAAGAGCAAAAAAGATGCTATATCTTTGATATTATTAAAAAAATTAGCGATTTTTTCTCCTTGGAGCAAATTACAAAAAAACCCTATTTACAAAAAAACCCATATTACATGGTTGGTATGATTGTTAATACATTGTATGTCTTCCATGCAATACAGTCCGTACAACGCCTAGGCACGCTGAGTATAAAATTATCGATCTGATCTTGGGGGATATTACACCACTCAAAAAGCAATGCTCTCCGAAATTCCGGTAGACATGTAGCAGGAGGTTGACGGGCTGCAACTCGTCGGCCAAGCATGTCCCACACGTGCTCTACTGGATTCAAGTCCGGTAAGAATGCTGGCTAGTCCATATGGGTGATATCCTCTGATTGAAGGCATTCGCTTACGATGTTTGCACGGTGAGGATGGGCGTCGTCATCCATAAACACAAATTGTGCGCCCATGGCGCCCCGAAAAAAAGTATATGTTGTTCTAGAATGACGTCCCGATAGATTTGGCTTGTCATGGTTCCAATTGGAACATACAAGTCAGTTCTGGAACCCAGAATATTTCCACCTCAAACGAGCACTCCTGCCACCGTAACGGTGTCGTTCAATGATGTTTTCTTGGTGGTAACGGGTACCTGGAGCTCTCCATATGAAAGTCCGGCGAGAATCAGATTGCAAGTTAAACCTGGATTCATCGGAAAACATCACACAAGCCCATTGTTGCGGTGTCCACAATGCATGCTCTCTACTCCAGGCTAATTGAAGGCGACAGTGAATTGCAGTAAGTGGAACGCATCTGACAGGTCTACGAACATATAGACCAATCTGCCCTAAGCGTCTGTACACGGTCTGCCTTGAAATTGTCGTACCAGTGGCTGAGAGCTGACAAGACAGGTCTGAGGCTGTGCTCCGCCTGCTTCTTTTGGCAGTAGCTGCCAAATACCGGTCCTCATTCGGCGTTGTAACTCTGGGGCGACCTGTGCTGTAACGTCTACTCACATTACCATCATCCTGGAATCGTTGCCAAAGCCTGGAGATGACACTCTGGGAAATTCCAAGTTCGTCTGATACTTCCAGTTGGGTATGCCCACATACCAGACGGCCGATAATTCTACCACGTAAAAAATCATCCAAATGCGTCCTTTGTGTCATCACTATTCGGTTATTGCACTGAAATGCTTATAAAGCGCCTGCGAACAATTTTACTTCTTTGCCTGTATTCCTTATATATCACTCTCTTACACTCTCGTCATTTTGACGTACCATTGGTGTCATCTGGTTACTTCCTGAAATTTGCATATTATTCTTGAAGATCTGTGTAGTGATTTTACAGGTGATATATTTATTTTGGAGTTCGATTTCCGCGTGACTCCGAATTATCCTTTATATTTATTAATTTATGGACATGAGTGTATTATCTATTTCTATATCTTTAACTCTACTTTATCGTTTTCGATTACATGCCGGTAACTAGTGCCAGTAGTATGGCATTGCCGAGCCTGTATCAGTGTAGATAGGTCCTACATAGTGTATATTCTACGTAGGCCAGATCTACATAGTGTCGGTCCTATGAATAGAAACCATTCCTCCAAATATTCGAGATGAGCATTTAACTCGAGGGTCTTTTAAGTGTTTCTGTGCCCTAGATACGTGTACTAAACATTAAAAGTATTTTAAAGTGCAGAATAGTAGAAGCCGCATCCAGAAAATTTGGAGACCCGCAACTAGACTTCCATACAGTCAAAATTTGTCAAAACGATTAACTAAACTGATTTTAGTGAAAACAAGTGTTTGAATGAACGAATGAGAATTGTGTACTTTTTGTTCAATTAATGTCGATGCTTATACGTATAAATAAAAACTTTTATTTTTTATACTGCCTTGATGGTAATGATGATGATACTGTTATTGTTGATGATGATGATGATAATGATGTTGAGTTTCGAATTTTAGAAATTCAAATTTTTAAGATTCACGGGATATGAGAATCTGAATGTCTCATCCTCATAAAAAATGAAATGTCACTGATAATTAATGAATATCAGTTATTTAGTTATCAATTATAAAGAAAAAAATTATCAGTTATTTAGGAACATATTTTGATCTCAATTAGTTGGTCCTCGTGATAATTATGTGGCTGAAAACGTAAACAGCTTATTTTAATACATTCCCTTATCTCGAAGATCATATACATGAAGCAGTTTTCTTTCAAAAGTTCTCGAAGAAATCATCCCTGCTCTACGACAGATAGTCCTCGTATGCTTTGTCAAATTCAACCAAACGTTTTTAGGATAGCATTATTTCCGTACTGTGCACTGTTTCATTTCATTTGTTTTTATGTTTCCAGAAGAGTGCCTATGTATTAAAAATGAAAAATCACTGGATCTATTTTTCAAATTAGCGATTTGTTCTTTATTCTCATAAAAAGCGATTTTACGTTGTTGTACTCTCAAACACCATTACAACTACTTCCTTAGATTTCAGTATACTTCTGATGAAATAATTTAACAATTTTGAACATGGGAATAGCGAAGAACCAAAGGAAATGCTCGCTTTCTTTTGTCTGAAAATGAGTGTTCAGTTTCAAATTTGTATGTCATATTTCCTGTATCAAGAGAAATATATATATATATATATATATTTGTTCTTATTTGTATATAAATATGTGTGTGTGTATATATATATATATATATACTATATATATTCAAACACATTAATTGCACAGAAATTAAAAATTCTCATTGATTTACTTCAAAAGTTTCTTTTCATGGAAATCTGTATCTTTTTTTTAAATATGCAAAGAAGAAAATTTGACTAAGAAAATGTAATTGCAGCTTTCGCTAGTTTCTCTTAGCTAATATTTGTGGGGCAAAGTGCATTTGTTTAAAGGGGTACAACTGCACTTCTTTGCAGCAATCCGCTGCCTTCGTTGTGTAGTAGTACATCGCCACCTAAATCATGAGCTCCCAAATTGTTGAATTCATTGCATAGAGAAGATGCCAAAACGTTTTACAGAAGACTAATAAGTTTTCTTGTTTTGTGTTTTTTATGCTGTCAAATTTTCCTTTGGGAGTATATTAAACATAAAATTTGTGCGTCCACTTCTAGTAACGTTAGTGGAACTCCACTTTGCTGCTTTCGTGACCCGTAATCTTGCGGGCAAAATTTAAATACCTCTTGAACGTATATTTGACTCATAAAAAGAACACATCAAACATTTAAAGTGTTATGATTAAATATGAAACATTTTTATAACTTTTTTAAACTTTTTTTTTAAACTTGATTAAATATGAAAACACACAGCAGTAATTTACTTATTTGAAATATTTCACGAAAGACAGCATTTCAAATTCTGACGGCTGGTTTTAATATTATTTTCAATTATCAATTATTAAAATAATGTGGCAACCCATTTTGTGTTTCTAAACACCTGTATAACTGTAAAATAATATTTGCAATTAACAGTGGAGAGTAACTTATTTACGTCCTAATCATTACTTTAAGATTTAATGGTTAAAGATACCTTTTCGCCTTACCTACGACATAAATGAAGTTGTCGTAATAAACGGCACCGTGATTATGCCTTGGCTGAGGCAAGCTACTGGTCTGCTTCCATTTATTTTTCTTGACATCGAGATGTAATACAACTCCGCCTAGGAGAAAAAGGTAGGTAACATATTACACTTAATTTAAATATAGATACATTGTTTTACATTAATAACAAAGTTTATTTATGTACACAGATAATCTATGATGATTTAGCACTGCCGCCAACTGCTCGTTCTATCATAAATCTAAGTGTAATTGTTGGCTGTCTAAGAACCTAGTTACTGATAAACCAGAAGTCTTATTTATAATACATTAATTCTAACGAGAACTAATATGTATTTTTCAAGTTTAATTATTATATGCTTTATTCTTAAAATAAAGTTGTAGAGTCATTAGGTTTTTATTTCGGAGGAGGATATATGAAAAATGTACAATGTCCTCCTCGGGGTTCAAACTCCGGGTCTTCCCATTACCGGCCGGCCGGACGTCCTTCCAATTACGTCACGAAGGTAAGCGATAGGAAAGGAGGTTATTTTTTACAATTTCTTTCCGTTGTATGAACTAATAAAAACAAAATTACTTAACATTAAAAAATTGTTATGAAAATTTTAAGGATCTATAATTTTGATTTGGAGTTTTATAGTGCTGGTTTCAGGGAGATTAAATACTAACTTTCCGGATTGTTAGGTTTAAAAAATGAGCCGGATGTGCTTTCCAATTACACCACGAATGCACGCTTTAAGGAGAGAGAAAATATCTTACACAGAGTAAGCTAGAAGAAAGAAAATATTATGAAGGAAATCTTAACGGAAACTAAACACAATAAACTTACAATACCATTTTGTATTTGAAGAATCCCAAGTTTCGTTCTTCATTTGAAAGACGTATTTTACCAACATTGTTTACATGACACAGGAAGAGTTGCTTACGACTCAGCTGTGTAAACAGCATCTTAAGGGAGTAGTTCAGAACTACTGGATCCACACGCTCGAAATTCCTTTTGAAAATCACATCTCGTGACTGAATGTTAGAATTTGCGAGAATAAAGTAATAAATCACGGTTATGTTTTAAGGAGTCATATCAGTATAATTTTCGATCCATCTCTATGCCGGCTGTGTGTACCGTGTGTAACTGTGTAATACACTGTGTAATACCGTGTCGGTATTACACAGTGTTGATCCTATGCAGTATCGGAATCGAATACCTATAAAGATATTAGAATTTTCAGAGCCCGAAACATGAAGATATTCGCAATAACATCTTTTGAGACTTTTTGTGATGCAATTGTACAGTATGTCCTCTGCAAAGGGGGAAACAATTGTATTCTCTTTCTCTTAAATGACGATGGAGAGGAGAAAACCAATTCACCGAATCGTAGTGGTGATGAGTTATCGTCCACCGGCCTTTTTATGTGAAGCGCCAATGTAGAAAGATTTTGGAATTTTTGGAGTAAGGTGAGGCAATATGCAGTGCTTTCTTTCGGATTCGAAATCCGAACTTCCCGATGCTGGCCTACGTTGTTTCCAATTGAGAAAGCAAGCGATAAAAATGGAGAAAATACCTTTCATATATCTATCTTCAGCTTCTTGAGATAAGCATTTTGCTCAACAGACTTTTAAGTGCTTCCATGCTGTGCAGATACTGAGAATAAAAAAACATTCAAGGACATGGAAGCCTACTCTGCTAACCATGACACCAGAGAGTGTGGTCTATGTGCTGTGAATTCTGAAAGTTTCACAGTATTCGCTTTTAATCTGTGTAAATGACTTTTAGTTACTATTTTATCATTTTGCATGTGTTCTTGTAAAGAGAAGATGAGATAGATTGAAGGTCAAATATTTCTGGAAATAGTCGGAAGGTAAAATATAAATAGATGTGATTAAGGTTTGATATCATAAGCTTTAACATTGATGTTTTTAGAAAACAGAAGATATGGTAAATTCGAACAATATTTACGTACCTTTTCCTGATTTAGGATTATTTTGATTCATTCCTCCGATGACGAAAATAAACATGTTTTCTTCCATGTAGCTTCTTGAGGATACAGTATCTGAAGCTATGGATGATTTCGATCTGTTATCCTGAAATTTAGTTTGAAAAAAGGGCTATGAATTTAACTGAAGTAAAGAAGCATGTCATAAAAGAAACAGTATTCAGTTAAACTACTATTCTTAATTCTTTACAGAATTACTTTCTTGAAACTTTAAATGCAGGAAACGTAACACATGAGAAATGTTTCTTGAAGAAAATAAGAAACTAGAAAAATCATTCTGTTACTTTCTTTAAGGAAGAACTAAGAAAGAAAAGACACGATTTTCACCTGTGAATGAGCTGAAACTTTTTTCACACTTTCTGAGACCATTTTTTATTTTGGTTATTGATTGTGAAGCTGCAGTTTTAAGTTTCTTTTATCTTTCTAGACTGAATACTAAACTTTGAAACACATTCTTCAGTACACGTTTTACGAGTGTTTCTCGAAAATAGCTTGAAGGCTGGATGATATGGTGCCAATTCAAACTATTCTGCAAGCCTAACTTTAATTCCTTTAAAGAAAATTTCTGCTTGTGTTCGCAAGTTAAACACTTTTCTTCCTTATTAGCTATAATACTGGAGAAAAAACTATTGGCTGATATGAAGTTTGAAAATTCAATACTTGTAACAATAAAACTAATTTTAGATTAAAAGTAAAATTAGAATTAGTACGGAAATGAGGTTTCTGATGTACACAAAATATAGAATCTGTTAGAATTTTCAGAGCGAGCGCGAAAAATCAGCTGTGCTTTCGGAGGGATTCAAACCAAGCATTTTTGAACTGTTAAAAGGATTTGCGAACAACTTATATCACGAAAGTGCATGCGAAAAAATGCAATAAATAGTTACATTCCCGCTACTTCAAGGGTAACTAGAAAGAGACATGAAACCTAATAGCCAAAAGTCAAGTGGTGATTAGTTATTGTTCCCAAATTTTAGTTCGGACATCATTACGAAAAAAAAGCATTGAATTTCCATGTAGAACTTCCACCTAATTATATAAGAGTATAATTTCATGCAAAAGAAATCATACGATGACCCCTTTCAAAGAAGACAGGAACTGATTGGAGTTGGGGTATTTGTTTAGATGGTAACATGCGAGAAATATAAAATATACCAACTAAAATTTTAATTGTTTAAAATTGGTAGAGGTAGAAGTGGGTGGGACACCAGAAGTTCATGATTGGCCGTACAGGTATACTGCCGATGCACTTGGCTCGCCGTGTATTTTGAGTACCCCCACGCCGGACAAGTAATATAGACTTACAAACAACCATGACTTCCTCGGGAATCGAATCAATGCTCATCAGTTCGGAAGTCAGCGTCACTAGCCATTATACGGTCTGGGTGGCAGTTGTTTGAAATAATAAAAATATGCTTCAAAGAATCTTTTTTTTTTTTTTTTTTTTTCTTTTCAAAATTCCTGCGAACATTGAATATTATTGCTTTTAGCGAAAAGAGGCATAACTTGCAACAGTGCCTCCGATCTTTTACGACATGTGCCAGAGTTGTGATACTTGCACACACTTTGTGATAGTGGTATATATCCACGAACTAAACATTTTTGAAATGCGTATATGATTTCTTAGTAAGACATTTTTTCAAGACATTTTATAATTTGAGTTTCTGAGAAGTTAGTGAAGTTATGAAACGTTTTGAATCGCAAACGAATGTGTTTGCAGAACGCAGCATTTCATTGCACAGTTTCACTTACAACAGAAGAAGACATTAAATCAAACACGAAATGAAAGAATTAAAAGTAGTAGAAAAATGGCTTACGGAAATGAAGAAAGATGGAATGTTATGGAAGAAGTAGAAATAAATAAACCTCTAGATACTGATATAGGAAGGACTAATTCATTTAAAAATAATTAACAAGATATAAAAGTACTTCTAAGTAATTCCTGTAAAGCATATAGGCTGTTCAACTTATTTATAATTTTCAAAACTTTTATTCAGAATGCTACAGAATAGAAGAAAAACTAATTTAAAAACTGAATATTGGGAACATTTTTAATAACAAGGGAGAAAGTTAAAATTTAATTTCTTTGACATCAAACTGCTCTAGAGTTATACTCATACGAGAGAAGTAGATACATTTATCGATGATTTTAAGCACGGGTCTGCTTACTTTCCTAATAGATGCATCAAAATAGTCACTTGTAGTTTTCAAAATTTGTAGTTTCTAATAGGTGCATCTAATCAGGAACTACGAAATATTTGCTATATGCTTTTACCTGGAAAAGCAACTGAAAATAATGTTCTAAATGAAAGCAACGCTTTTATATACATTTTATCTTTCAATGCTAATTTAGCACCTTCTTCCAGTTAATAGTCGTTATTTAAAACTAACAGAATGCTTCTTTTATCGTTCATGTTGTAAGGCTTTGCTTCCTTCTTACCGCATGCTTTCGGGCTGTAAATGAAAAGCACGCCCGGCTAGCAATTGGAGGGTTCGGTATTCGAGTTCGGGTGAGGGACAGTGTACATTTTTCACTTCATCTGTTCAAAATTTAAATGATTCACCTAATGGTCTCCGTAAGTGTCGCCCGAGCTTAAGCAGCACTTTATAGATAGACGCTTCGAGGCGGTGTTGGCTAAAAAGTGGTGGACGATAAAGGGGTGGCGATAGGGTTTTTGCGTCCCCAGTCGCTTTTTAAGTGGTAAGAATATAAGGTTTTCCGCATGCCTTCATGGTATAACCAGAAAGCAAGTTCGCCTATCAATGGGAAAGTCTGAGTCCCGGCAAGGGCATTGAAGATTTTCCTCACTTCTTGCATCGACAAATCTAGTCTAGACAAAATTCAAATAAATAACGACAAATCAAATCTAGACACAATTTAATTAAAATTAAATTGTTTCACATCTTACACCATTATCTGAATTCCTCTTCTCTTTTTTTCTACAAGACTTCTCTGTACCTCCAGATGTTTCAGGCAGAATTTCATTACCATCTTCATATGCAGTTTTAAATTTCGTTGTAGATTGAGATTTAGCCCCTCTATTCCGATTGGTAATTTTCACAGGTTCTGTTTTCTGTGACATCCTGGCATGTGCATGTTTTATGCTTGGCGAAAATGCGCAACGTACAAGTTCCTCCTTTATTGAGGTATCTAAAGTATCACAAGCTACAGATCCAGATCCTGGTATAGTTTCGTCTTCTGGATTAGCAGTGTTGCGCGTTTGTTGGGTTTTAACATATTGGTCACTGTCACTATCTGATTCACGTGATATTTCATGACATCGCCTAAAATTCGATTTCTTTTCAATTGTTTCAGGTGATTTCCTTTGGACGCTTATCTTTTGCTCTCTCGTATGATCTGAACTACTCTGAATATTATTACTAGTACATTCAGAATTATGTTTTTGATTATTTGAAGAAAATTGTTGGGAAATAAAACTAAAATTTTGCTTTTCAGTAATCGATGAATGAAGGGGTGATTCTTTCCTTCGATGAGTTGATATAACTTTCACCTGAAACAATAAATAAAGCATGTATGAAATTTTCCGCTAATATATCTGGGCCTAAAACATAATTTTAATATTTTAGTAGATATTTGTATATGAAAAACGAAGTTTACAATTTTATAGACAGAAAAGTCTGATAATGCTCTTACGTTAACATTATACTAGACCGAATTTTAGTGAACCTAGTATCAATCTAATAAGTCTGTAGCTAGAAAGGCTTTGCTGTATAATTTTATGATATTAATAAAATGTTATCATAAAAAATTTGACAGTTTAGAACATAACCTTGTAGAGACATTAGGTATTTTTGGAAGCAAGCAAAATGAAAATTAGCAACGCCTTCGCCGGGAATCGAATTGCGGACTTCTCAATTACGCGCTGAGCGTGCAGACCACTACACCACGAAGGCTCGCTAAGAAGGCGGGAGAAATACCTTATAAGCTATTTAAAAATTATTTCGAGGTAAAAATTTGTCTCTTAATTTTAGCGTTATCCCAGTTTTTGTTAGAGCCACTCCAACTATTTGTTTGTTCTGCAAAAATTCCTTTTAATTGATAGGGAAACGATAGTCGTGGAAATTCTAAATCAATACAAGAGACAAATTAAACTAATGAGAAACAAGACCGAGAGTAAGATAAACAGAATATAAAGGATAAAAATATAAATGTGACTCTATATCTTTCTCAGAGAAAAGCTTGAAATGTGTAAAAATGTTTTCCATATTTAATCATAAATTATAAAAAAAAATAATTGTTATATAATTTTAAAATTAGTTTTTAAATGCAAGAAAAAATATATTGGAAAAAGGGATTCAATAACTATGGCTACGAAATATGCGCCAATTCAAAGAAAAATATTTAGAAAAGGGTATGTTTTCCCCTGAAGAAACACAAAACTGGCAATGACTATTCGTGACGTTTATTGTTTTTAAAGAAAAGGCAAACATCTCGAACAATGCTAGGACAATTGAAATTAAAGTAGAACAGAACAATATCAGAAAAGAAATGCAGTAAGAAGTTTCGTTTAGATCTAGAATCCGTACATCCATATTTATTATTGTCTTTTCAAAATTTCTTACGTTAAGTTTTAAAAGAACTTTAAATTTTGTTTCGAAATCTTATTGCTATTTTAATAATTTTTCCTTTATAATGTGGTGTTGTTCTTATCATTACTATTTTTACATCTTTAAAATTCAATTTCTTCTATATTTAATTTCTATTAGAGTTACGTTGTGACTTTTAAATTAGGTTTGACATCGAATGAACTCTTAAATAAAAATTTCTCGGCTACTAATTATCACTTTATATAGGAATTATACGAAGCTAGTTACCATATTATATAGCCTAGATATAGCTATCTGTTCTCAAGGATTATTAAAGATAGTTCCTAAGTTTTTTTCCTTCGGTTTCTGATATCGGGCTACTTTTAGAGATATTTTTCTTATGGTCTAATGAAGGAATGGTTGAAACTAATGTAGAACAAAGGAGAACGAATATAAGGAAATTGTCATCTCACCTCACATTCAGAATCTGTGCCGGAATGGTTTAGTTCTTCTTTGCCACTCTTGTTTCCTTCTGCATGTTTTTCTAACTTTGCGCAATTGCCTCTCTTTTCCCTCAAGCGTCTCTCCGTTTCAGTTGATTTGCATCTTTCAACTTTTCCAGTGCTCGGATGCATCTGATCTGATTTTTAAAAAGGAAGTCACAATGAAATTAGGTCAAATGTAGGAGAGAAGCTTATGCATTAACCAAGGAGTCTTTTAAATTTATAAATGCTAAGTTTTATCGAAGTTGAGAAAATGAAGCCAAAAATAAGTCATATGAACCACGGTATAAATGTCAAAACAACAACTTTAGTTTTGATAGTCAAATTTAGGGTAAATGCAGAGAGAGAGTTTTTAAAATCCTCTACCTCTTAAAATCATAATTCATTCAAATAATAATATATAAGCAATAAAAGTAGGGCTTCTTTATAAAGTTTTTTCTCCGTCCCTCCAGCATGCCTTCGTGGTGTAAGTGTTGGCACACTCGACGCGTGTTCGACGCGTGTCCCGGTTCGAGTTCCGGCAAGGGCATTGCTCATTTTTCAAGTCTCCCGCTTTGAAATAACCTAACGACTTTATAACTTTCAGTATCATGTGAAAAATATGCGCAATGAAAATAATCATATTTCATTGATCATTATCAAGGAAATATGATACCGCTTGAAATACGATATAAAACATTTCTGTTCATATTTGGGAACAATAATATTACAAAATGTAAACATATGTTTTAAGTAAGCATGTAAATGATAACTGCATTTTGGAGCTTGTTTCTTCAAATGATGAGAGTATTTTACAACTAACATCTAAATTATCTATACATGTGTTGAAATAGGTAAAGCATTTAACACATTTGTTAAATGTTCTGTGAGTTTGCTAAAAGTCTATATGAAAGGAATTAGTCATCTAATTTCAAAATTAGTGTGCCTATACACTGTTCATGCAGCCTCACAGTTTATTAAGAATGACGCCAAAATACAAGTCAGTTACAAAAATTTTAGAATGCAGCAACATATATGAATTTCACTGAATTAATCAGTGAGTACCCAATAAGGGAAATCTCGCATCACCGTTAAACAACCAGTCACCTAATTAATGCACTGTAGCAACAAGCTGTCATATTTAAAATTCAATTTAGTCTTTCAAAGACAAGCTGCGAAAGCAGGAGACATATAAATATCGATAACCTAAAAGAATTTCTCGTTAAAATAACTTTATAGTTTTCATTATATGCAGATGGAATTCGAATATTTTAAGTTGTAATGATCATATTAATTACTTTTGGGTTATAATGTACATATAGTCATATTCATATTATCATGATAGAAAGTATGGGATATAATCTATATAGGGTGTATCAGTACAGCGATGACAAACTTTCAGGAGAGATAGAGTACACCTAGACGATAGAAAATTACATAGCAATTGCATGGTCGGAAACGATTTCCTGGAACGGTAGTAACGACACAAAACGCAAAAAAGAAAGGATACAACCAGTGAGACAAAACATGTTTTAGCCGTGATGCAGGCCTCACTTCTCTGGCGCATGGAAGATCGCGTGGAAGACGCATGACGCACGGTTCTTCCATCAAGGTCCGGGTCGTAATTTCAAACACCTTAATGTTTTAATTCTGCATACTGGCCTCTTCTAGCCTTTAATTACACACGACAGAACTTTAACTACCTAATCGAATGTGTTATTTTCCACGATGATTTCATCTTCTTCTCTCTCGTCGGCCATAGTGTTTTTATTCAGCCTTTTCAGCTATGTTGTCTTCCATGATGACAGAAACCCACATCACCAACAAAGTTACTGGATAAATAAATAATTCATTAAAAAATGTCACTGATCATAAAGATGCTTTAATTTCTATGTGATTAGACACATTGTAGGATTCCTCACTGCTTAATTCTAAGTTACTGTTGGAAGTGAAGAATCTTAAGAACTGATAAGCGAATAATCGCTTGAGTTCGTGTGACAAGAAACAACAAGATAGAAGGGTTAAATAACCCTTTGTTATTCCAACTAAAGTTTAACAAAACTCTCTTGGAATGTACAATAAAGCCGACACTTGGGCTTAATCTTAAGAGACTAAGAATTAAACTAAACTAATCTTAACAAATGAGTTATAGCCGAAGCTATCAAAATTCTAACAGAGTTGGCCCCTTAACGTTAATAGACTGCGAAACTATCAAGGGCCTAAAGTACGGCCGAGCGTAATAATAGCTACGAGAGAGTAGCCAAAAAACGCGGACGCGTGCTATCCAGAATATCTGGTATCTCTCTGTCTAAGACCGAAGAACTTCGCGGTTAATTACCGCTCTTCCTCATTATGTATTCAGACGTGATTCTAAAACTACGTTCTGGCCGGGAGTAGTAAGTTGAAGTTAAAAATCGATAGGAAAGGAAGTTTAACTAAAAATTTAACTGTTGATAAAATTAACATAATCCTAACAACTATAATAATACTATGAGAGCTCAAATAAAAATTTGAGATAATATAATATTGTTACGTGCGTACGCATTCGTAATGAATTGAATGCACACAGATCCGATGATAGCTTGATTTAATTTATTTTACCAAAAGAAACATTTTACAGTTCTGAAAACTTCCAACAAAAATACTCGTACAGCTCTTCTCAGTATCACAGAGTACAATCAGTAGCCGCACTTTAAAATACTAAGAATGTTAGACGCATTGCAATGCAAAGTGCCATCTAAACAGCGAAGCTGACACAGATTTATCTCGATACCGAGCTCGACTTTGAACTGAAAAACTGTGAACAGGTGCTTTATTTGAGCTTATATAGTTTTCCTGGACGCCGAGAAACCATTAGTACCTTCCCTGTCTCTAAATTTCTGAAAAGCATGTACCGTTAAAGTTACACATAAGGGCAAGATACGATTAAGTTACATATAGGAATCACGTACACTTATTCAATTACAATACCAACTGCAGTTATACAAAGACCGAGCCAAAATGTCGCCCAAACCATCGCCAGCCTGGCGATATCACGCCATTTCAGTGAGATAACCATTTACCTCAATATAAAATAAACTGCCAATTGTAATCTTATATTGTAGGGAAGAGCTTCCTCTCTTTCATCGTTTCACATTACATTATACAAAAAAAAAAAAAAAAACACTACAATTTCACATTGACTAAAATGCTTTACATATATACAAAATTCGTAACAATATGATTCTTTTCACTAATTATAATAAATTTTATTCAAGCCCGAGAGCTGTGCTACCAACAAACGGGAAATCAACAGAACGATCATACTTGAATTGAAGCCAGTGGGGGAGAACTGTGCCATATAATCAAATTATATGCCATACAATGCCATTTATTTTAAGCAGTTTCTTCCATGTTGAATGTGAACCAATTGTTAGAATCCAAAACCTTCTAAAACATTCACTGGAGGTAATAAAAATCAAGAAGTCAAATTGTAGACGGTTGCTTTAAAATAGATTTCCCCAAATCTTCGATCGTAACTCGTGTCATCTTACCGTCTTATTCTCTTATTGTATTATTGATCTTGGCTTATTTTCGTCATCTCATTTGAAGCTGTAATTCAAGTCAGCCTTCATTCGCGCGCTTTTCTTGAAGCGAAATACACGAAATAGAAATGCAATGCGAAAACAATTAAATGACTCGACATTTTCTTCTCAGCTGTTGTTCCATGGTTATGAATTAAATACAGTGACGTAAAATAACATTGAAATTCCTATTTTAAAATAATAGACTACAGCAGAGTAAAGGGATCGTTCTGTTGTATAACAAAAAAGCTTTTTCGAAATACAAAGATGCTCAGTGAAATAAAGACCTTCATCAGTATGGTGAATATTCTTGAAAAATCTTGGTATCGCAGATAAATTTGTATATTTTGGTATTTTTCATTTAAATGTTCATCATGTTCAGACATATTTTTGGGGAAAAGAAAATAATTTGGTTTCACATATTGGCATAACAAAAAGTGCATAGATAGTAATTCTTTTAATTAATATTGTTCGAAAACAAACGCTACATTTTTTAACTGTATAAGGTATATCTCCCGCCTTCTTGGCGTTCCTTCGTGTGGTTCTGCACACTGAGCTGGTATTCCAGAGGTCCGCGGTTCGATTCCTGGCGAAGGCGTTGTTAATTTTTCATCTTTCCTGCTTCCAAAAATATCCTAATGTCTCTACAGTCGTGCCCGAATTAAAATGGTACTGGATGAGGTTTCTCCACATCCAACACCCTTTTAGTTCGGACTAAAAGATTTGGCGATTGGGTCCCCTAAAAACCCCAGTCGCCCTTTAAAAAGGGGAGTATATAAGGTATTTCTCCCACTTTCCTAGCGTGCTTTTGTAGTGTAGTGGTTCTGCACACTGGGCCGGTATTCCAGAGATCCGTGGTTCGATTCCCGGTGAAGGCGTTTGCTACTTTTCATCTTGCCTGTTCCAAAAATATCCTAATGTCTCTACAACGAAAACAACTTATTATTAGCAGCAACTTATAACAATCGAAAAACATAGTAAAGTATTACAGTGGATGGACAAAAATATGGAAACACCTTGTGAAATGCATGTCTGAAAAGAAAGATTGATTTTAATGAAATATGTAGGTGGCGCTGGCGTTTTTGACTACTGACGCCACCTATACACTTCGTAAATGTGCTAAACAGTTCAGTTGTTGTCGGAGTACTGCTATGTGAGGTTGTCATTGCATTATGTCAGAGTTAACAGACTTCGAACGTGGGCAAATTGTTGGAGCACGTATGGTAGGTGCTTCCGTAAGCAAGGTAGCCGAGGTGTTTAGGTTTTCAAGAGGTAGTGTATCGAAGATTTATTCCGCATATTTGAAAAGCGGAAAAACATCATCTGCTAAATCACAGCGCGGACGAAAGTGTGTCCTGAGTGATCGTGACAGACGATCATTAAGGGCAATTGTGACAAAAAATAAGAAGTCCACAGCTGCAAAAGTTACTGCTGAAATGAATGTTGTGTTACCGAACCCTGTGAGTACCAAAACAATTAGAAGGGAGCTTCATAAACAGGGAATTGCTGGCCGTGCTGCAATTGAGAAGCCACTCATCAGTGATGCTAATGCCCGTAACAGGAAAAGGTGGTGTTTAAGTCGTAAAGCCTGGACTATAGAGCAGTGGAAGCGAGTAATATGGTCTGACGAGTCTTCTTTCATATTGTTTCCCACTTCTGGCCGAGTTTACGTCTGGAGAACTCCATCTCAAGCCTATAATACAGACTGCTTGTTGCCAAGAGTGAAACATGGCGGGGGTTCTGTTATGGTTTGGGCAGCCATATCGTGGTTCTCTGCTAGCCCCATGATAACTGTGTCAGGGCACATGACTGCCAAGACTTATGTGAACATTCTGGCCGATCAAGTTCATCCCATGGTACAAACTTTGTCCCCCCGTTGGTGATGGTGTCTTCCAAGACGACAAAGCCCCTGTTCACACAGCTCATATTGTCCAGGACTGGTTTTCTAAGCACGAGGATGAGTTGTCCCATCTCCCCTGGCCACCACAGTCACCAGACCAGAATATTATCGAACCTTTGTGGTCTACATTGGAACGGAAAGTGCGTTCTCGTTATCCACCGCCAACATCGTTATCTGAACTTGCCACCGTTTTGCAGGAAGAATGGTATAATATTCCCTTGGCAAACACACAGGAACTGTATTTATTCATTCCGAGAAGACTGCAAGCTGTTTTGGATGCCAACGGGTTTCCTACACCATATTAAGCAAAGAAGCGTTTTTTTAAAGGTGTTTCCATATTTTTGTCCAACCCCTGTACGTTGACGATTATATTTTTCAAAAATTAATCGTATAGTTTATCTTATGTAGCGAATTTATGAAGCTAAAACCCCACTTACTTGAAGCCATCTGCCATCTTACTTGAAGTTTCAAATGCCTAGACAGAAGATATATTTACAATTTTTCAAAAATTAATTAATGACTTGAATAACCTTTGGAATACGAGACCCTCGTATGACTCTATAAATTATCTTTTTTCATCTCATTAATACTTTCAAATCATTATTTATGGACTGTTTATGGTTCATATTTCTGTCTGCTTTAATTAAAATTTCATTTATATTAAATGCCCATGTCATATTTAATGCATTAATTCAAATTATATCTCACGGGAAATGATAGGAAATGCCAAAAAAAATTTGATAAAGAAATTTATGCGAAGACCTCATTTCCTTTTATAGGAGCGAAATGGCTCGGCTTGGGCTTTGGGGACTTATTATATTAACACATATTTTAAATTAACAAACTGTGAATTAAGTACACTAATCGTAAGTCTTACAGCTGAAATATGAGATAAAATTCCGAATAAAGGTTGATTTTTTTAAGCCCTCGTGTCATTCCAGATTAGGCTGACTGAAATAATTTTCCGAACCTCTGTTTCCATCTGCTTGTGAAACTGTTATCGAATCAGATGTCCTGTTTATATCTGTATTTAAATAAAGTGAATCTTCCATGTTATTCATCTCTTCACAGTACACTGATAAATTAGGAGTAGATGATGGACTTTTCTGGTGCTGCAAAGAGAGTTTTAATGCAGGTAATACATTACGATTACTAATATTAACTATATATATCTTTCATAAAAATATTTGCAACTGGCAATTAGTATTACCCATAATTCCATTGATAAGTTTTCGAAAGCAAGCATCCTCTTCGGATTTGAGTACTGCTTGAACCAACTTTCTTGTCCCAGAGCTTTAGCAGTAATGTAACTGGAAAACAAAAAATATGCCTTTTTCTCAGTCATATGTATTAACGTTTTTATTATTTTTTTTTTCAAAACGGACAACAGAAAGTAATTTTTAGCATTAATTACGATTTCTCTTGTCGATACTTGAAAATAATTTTTCTAATAAAAGATCGATTTTTCTTAATGGAACTTTTCTGATAAAAATTAAACTTAGCAAATACAATGCATACAAAAAGACGGTGGAACTCTACAGAATTAATCAGAGGTGAAAGGAAATGATTTTGATTTATACCCAAACTACATTATTTTGGTTTCACAAACAAGTAATTTCAATACATGCAATATAAGTTATTATTTCTTTAAAAGAGCGAATATGTACAATAAAATGCTTTAATAATCGAACTTGCAATGCAACTGCCAATGCAAAAAACAATTAAAATATTTGAACAATTTATACATAAGACTTAATATTACAAATAGAGAAGCAAATCAAATAGATCAAAAGCACTAAGAATGAATTACATAATACAGAGAGTGTTTGTAAATTATTAGAAAGAATTTAAAAAAAAAAAAAGAGAAAGCAAATGTTTTCCTAAAAATTTCTGGTAGCAGCTTATTATTTGACGAGAAATATCCTCTATTACTTTTAAATTTATTCTTCTTTCAAAATGTCGCATGTAAACTAGCATGTATTCAGGAATATGTTTGGCGCTTCCCAAACGGAAATCTTTTTGTAACATAATTCAAAAACGCCGAGAAATTTATTATTCTCGCTTCATTTATATTTTCTGACGGACGAGACGCAACAGAAAAATAGAAAGGTTGAACATAAATAATAATATGTCAATTAAGTAAGCATCGCAAAGGAGCCCAGTGCTTACTCGTATATAAACCTGGTATTTGTTAACAAATTATTATTTTTTTTCATAAAAATCTTTGACAGTTAAATTAAACGAGCATATAGAAACAAAATGCCAGTTTAATGAAACAAAAAATGCTTCTAAAATGCAACGAGATCTTACCTAAATAATCTTCTCCAAATGAATCTGAAGCAAATATATCTGCAGTTCAGTAATTTATAGAGTTCTTTTCACCCATATAGTGATACCCATGAGTAGTAGATACCAAATTGAATCGCCATATCTTCTGGAAGAAGCGCATTTTTCGACGGGTTTAACTTGTAACATGTAGCAGAGGTATCATATATCGCAAGCACAGAGACCCCAAAATTGTCAACACTACCGAGAACAAGGAGCAGCTGCAGCAGGTTAAGTGTCGTCACCTCACAAATCCAAATCAGTTCGCTGTTTGTCCGCATCACTGGCAATTCTCAGAACATCATTACATTGAATTCTTAAAGATATATGAAACGGAAACTACAGCGCAGTCACATTAATGCGACCACCTGCCAAAAGCCAGATAACCACCTTCCGCAGAGCGGACCACTGCGAGACGTGCAGGAAGAGAGTCAGTTAGGTTCTTGAAGGTGTTCACTAGGATACCGAGCCATTCCGACTCCAGTGCCGTGGCCAGCTGCGCTATGTTACGCGGTTGAAGATCCATGGCGCGAACAACCCGATCGAGGGGTTCCCACAGATTCTCGATTGGGTTTAAGCCCGGGGAATTTGCTGGTCAGGGAAGTACCGAAAACTCATCCTGGTGCTCTTCGAACCCCGCGCGTACACTGCAAGCTGTATGACACTTCGCATTGTGATGCTGGTAGATGTCATCATTCTGAGAAAAAAACAATTCGCATGTAGAGATGGACATGGGTCTCAAGGACAGATGCGTATTTCTGTTGACCCATCGTGCTTTCCACAATGATAGATAATGCCCCCCCCCAAAAAAAATTCCCCAGATCGTAATGCTCCCTCCTCCAGCTTGGACCCTTCCGGCAATTATTGCAGGGTGTTTGCTTTCCGACGTTTCACGCCATATACGCCAACGTCCATCTATCCGATGGAGCATAAAACGTGATTTATCGGAAAAAGCCACCTGTCGCCACTCAATGGATGTCCAGTTGCGGTATTTGGCGTGCAAATTATAGCCTTCTTCGCCGATGAACTACAGTCAGGATAGGTACTTTAACCAGGCGTCTGCTGCGGAGGCCTATACGCGGCAATCCTTCGCTGAACCGTCGTTGAGGAAACACTTTTGGTAGCCCCTTGGTTCATCTGGGCGGTCATTTGCTCAATGGTTGCACGTCTATTCGCGCGAACGCATCTTCGCAGCCGTCGTTTACCTTTGTCATCTATGACCCGTGGTGCAGCACATTTGCCACATCGCTGATTTTGGATAGTGTCATTTTGCCATGTACGGTATGCTTTTACTATGGCGGCTCGTGAACAGTTTATAGAACTAGTCGTTACGGAAATGCTTTCAAACTTGGCCGCAAAACCAATGATCATGTCCTTTTGGACGTCAGAAAAATCGCTCCATTTCTGCATTACGCCAACGATCGCAATATTTTCTGATTCTCTAACACCTTTTATATCCTCTGCACTGCAATGTGCTGCCACCTGCCCTCTGTGATTGGTTATTTCACGTTGATGTCGAAGGTAGATGCTGGTCACATTAATGTGACTGGACTATGAATATCATATGAGATTCGTCAACAGGTTGAATGAAGATGATCCTAATCATAGCATGCATCATATCATGCAGTTTGCTGAAGAGTGGCTTATAAAGTTAGGGAGCCCACAGCTGAAGAAGAGAATGGTGTATGTTGATTAAATGATGAATGTGTTTTAACCTGTACGGTAATGTGAACAGATGTAACTGAATTTACTTACGTTAAGTTAAATGCAAATGCGGTAGTCGAGTACAATAACAGAAATCCCGGCTTCGTGGTCTGGGGAGGTATTACGTAACAAGATGTCATTGGCCCTTTCTTCTTTCAAAATGGCGTCAAAGGTGAGAATTATTTGAAGTTAATTATGGACAGTTTTAACCCTTTGCTCCAACAAAGAGACTACTTTGATCAGTTGTGGCAGCAGGATTAGGCTTCTCTCATTATGTCCATAGCGGTACGGGATTGGTTGATCAAGGCATTTTCCAAAAGTTGGATCGATCGTCGCGGTCCTGCTTCCCTGACCTCAACCCAACAGAACTTTTACTATAGGAATAAGAGACAGAATATAAAAAGAAATCATGATTTAACTCACCAGTTGGCTCTGAATAGGAGCTCAACTATTTCTGGAATTTCAACCACTTGTGGTAGAAAGGGTGGGTGATAGCAAGCAACTATTTCCTCCATAGTCATTGAACTGAAACGTACACATTCCATAATTTTTACTGCATACGTGCATCGACTGGTGTAATCGTAATTGAGCCAATTCAAACCTGCCAAAAATACGATGACTTCACTGCAAGAAAGAGAAATTATATTTCACTAAAAAGCTCTTTAATATCTACAAACAAATGATTTTCTTTTGCATACGTTCCCAAATTTATCGTATTGCATAAAGAAGACTTTGCTTTTCTTTTTAAAATATCACATAGAATGAAAACCTTATAAATGTACAGGTACGAAAAAGTGCGCATGCGTTTACTGACTTTGATATTCAGTCATTGAAAATTGCAGGTTGTTTTATAAATATGCATGTTCAGCGTGGTATCATTCCTAGCTAGAAATCTGAAAATATACCTTCCTTCTAACAAGCGATAATGTAATATAACGCGGTAGGTATAGTGTGTCATCGGTCATTGGTATAGGGTTTGCAGGGGTGGAAGAATGAGAGGAAAACGTGATTGAGAAGGAAGAGGTGGTAGTGGGACGAGCTCAAGGAAGAACCAATAAATGCGCGGAACCTGGCAGTAGGACATTTAGGTTAAATATTAGCTATTGCAATGATTATGTAGTAAAATTTCTCAATTTATGGACAAGGGAAGTAATTATCATAATTGTAATTATTTGAAAACTAGAATTATTCTAGTGTAATTTTGTTTCTTTATTAATTGATTTAACAGGGTTTTTTTATTTCACTAAATTCTTATCTGGAAACTAGTGTTTCAATGTTATTTTTGTTTGTTAAACTTTAATTGGAAAATTGTGATAATAAGGAAGTAATTTTTAAATGTAAAGGTAATCAGGAGGCTGACAAATTTTTACTGCGCCATTTTCGAATTCCGCAAAGCTGCAGAATTTGTTCGAGGACATTCACTTTTGTTCTTATCTGCCCACCAGTGGCCGAGCGGTAAAGTCGCTGAAACACTGGTAGTTCGGTCTGAGGTTCGAATCCCGCGAACGGGCTGGCTGCATGGGCGTTTTCGTGGTTTTCCCCATGTGTAACGTGTATACGAGCCAGTTTCCCTTAGAAGTCCTCCACGAAGGCACCCCTCCCCTTAGGCAGATAGCCCTCGAGGCTTTGCCATAATCACACACACACATTTGTTCTTATCTTGCTTGCGGTCTTGAGTACGTAATTCTCTTTCAGTAAAGATCAAGGGTTAATGTTAAGTTACTCGGAAAGTTCAACAAGTTTGACTTGGCTGTGTCATTTTCTGGCTTTCGAGATTGCTGGCTGCACTTGCGCAAATCGTTATTTTTGACTAATTGGAGGAAAAGTGTTTTTAGTCGTGTTTAGGATGTGCGAAGCTCTGGTATACTGGTTGTTCTTGTGCGTTCGTCTCTCTTCGACTGTCGCGTAAGTAACCTCTAAAAATGCTTCCGGATAAGTCGTACCATTTGGAATTTGGTGATCTCGTCACATTGTGATTGCTCCCAGCGAAGAGAGGTTGCTTTAGTATGTCCTCTGAGCAAGAATTGTTAGGAAGGCTCCAGTTCTAAGGCAGAGCCATTTGCAGAGTTCAAATGTGCCGAATGCTGTGCTGTAAGATTTTTTTCCTTCTTGTGAAAAGCTTCTACATTTAGTTAAACAGAGAAGCTAACTTGAGAAATATTATTCGTTCATACTAAGATGAGGTTAAGATGCAATAACACGCCAAACAAGTATCAATTTAAAAGTCAAACAACAAAAATCACTGTTAAATTTGAAAATATAACGCTGATTTTTGTTGTTTGACTTTTAAATTAATTAGGTGTGGTTATTTAACGAACACTGCGTTTTTGAGTCGGTTTATTCGACTCGAGATAAAAATCAGTTACTTCCTTCCAGTCTAGAAACCACTTGTCGTGATGGGTGTAAATTTTGTTTTTGCGCAATGTACACTGATATCTTCCGTTATAATGGGGCGTATTTTTTTCATATTTCGATTCTACGACTAAAATTATGCCCAGATATTAAATTTTGTTAAATTTGGTGCGAAATTTACAGGATAAATTTAAAAATTTATCGTTCCTACCTTTTTATATTGTGTAAGAGCGGAAAAAACATCACATCCTTTCTACTTCCAAATAATTTTAGCAAAGTGTTTAAACCACATCTGCTGTTTTATTGCTTTCAGCAAATATGACAAATTTCAAAACGCGCCAATATATAAATTCACGTATATCTTCGGAAATTTTGAATAAAAAATTGTAATATTTTGCAGGTATGTTTAGAAATACGTCTACTTTAAGATTATGGTAAAATTTTATAGCTTATAATTCAAATTTGTTTTTAAAAATTTATAAAGTTATTTAAAAATACAAATTTAAAAAATAAATCATAAAAAATGGGTGAATTCTATTTGGAATGAACCTGAATTTCGAAATATGAAAGGAAGAATCAAATAAGCTTAATAAAGACAGAGAGATTAATCAATATATACTAAACTCAATTAACATTGCGGAGCTAATTTTTTAAAAACTACTTGTGGGATTTTTTTACAAAACTTGGTAGTTTGGAGCAATTTGAGTCGTAGAATTGAAATATGGAAAAAAATTGGTATGAATTTTCAGAAAAAGTTCGATTTTTGTGTCAAAATACCGATATTAGAGCAATGCTATATATAGATCTAATTTATATCCCAAGTCGCACTTTCGAGAGAAAAACGCAATTTGAATTTCGTCAATCGACCCAATACAACCGGAGATATAGAACTGTCCCATTTATTATTATTTTTTAAAAATTTTTATTTATTTATTTATTTTTTGCGCAGTGTACATGATATTATAATTGTAAAATTTGGGTACCCAATCTGTTCTTTTTTTTTCTTAAAAATATTGCTTAATAAAATGTTTTTCCATGTAAGAAAATAGAGTAATCAATCTTTAAACATTTTAATAAAAATGGATATGAAAGGAGCTTAATTGAGTCTGTTGATTATTTGTTTTATTCTGGTTCATATTCAGATATGGGTTCTGATATTATTACATTATTATGGAATGGTCATTTGACATATATTTCAGTGAAAATTTTAATGAAGTACGTGAATGGTCATTCAACCGGCATGAACCCGGCAACCAAAAACACAGCGCAAATACCCACTTTCTCGGTTTAATTTAAGTTAGGAGAAAAGTGAATTCAATTAGTTATTTGAGCTACAATTTATAATTTGAGTTAAAGTTTTAAAAATATTACTTTGGTACCGTAAAATAAAGGCGGTACTAAACACAATTAAACCAGAGTTATCAAAGTGATAAGGCCATCAATGTATCTAAAAGTAAGATTAAATTTTTCATAAAATTGAATTCTTGTACAAAAAGAAGAAACTGCAAGCAGAAGTTGAAAATTTTTTGCCAATGGGGAAGCCGTTTTTCGTAAGAAAATTTTATTAAATTTGACTAAATTATGGAAAAGTGGATAGTTAAAATAGGAAATCTGTATATCTAAAGGTAATTCGTATTAAGTATTTTACCGAGTACTGAAAATAATTTGAAAAGTTGGATACGACTGTTATAAATTTCTTTTAAGGAAATGCACTTGTATACATTTTTAAACTCATAACTATTAATGTTATAACTGCAAAGACTGTTTTTAACTGTTTGGATATTTTTTATTATTTTTAATAATCCAATAATGGTGAGATGGCAAATTAGAATCATGGACAGTGTGAAAGCAAACATTTTTCTCAAAAATTTAAAAACATTTTTCTCAAAAATAAATTCTATATTCTTCTTATTCAGACCGCTGTACAATCCGTTCTGTCTATCGAAGTTTAATGAAACTTGATATATACGTTATTTGCACTATGGGGAAAGGATTTCTGCAATAAAAATAGTTCAGAATTTCGCACCAGATGGCAATTTTCAAAAATTCCTTATGCAAACTACTCAAACCTATAAAGAGACTTGCAGTCAGAGCCAGAAAATCTTTCTACGTGCCTTTGCCATCGTTAATCATGCCCTTATAGAAGAAAGATCGAACTTTACTGGTAAAACTGTTTTATCAGGACGGCAGCAATAGCTTAGCTGCATTGCGTGAATATTATCGTTTAAAGGGATTGCGAAAAGGGCCCATGTTGAAGAATGGCTAGAAGAAAATAATTATGAAATTTGAAGAGACTGGAGACTTGGGTGTGCTGCCAGGAAGAAAGCGGAAACCGGTTGCGAATGAAACTGTCGAAGAAGTCCCCACTGCTGTGGTTGAAAGAGCCTCTAGTTCCCGCTAGTCTTCAGCAAGTGCTTGATCGGTGTTTTATGAGTTGATGATTCCTTGGTCGACAGTACGAAATATTCCGCGATCCATTTTAAAATGGTATCCGTATAAGATCCACTTGGTACAAATGCTGCAACCTCAAAGACCACCAAACATTCTCTGAATTTGCTTGCCGATTTTTGCCGAGAATGGATGCTGATGACGTCTGGCCTTGGAAAATTCTATGGTCAGATGAGGAGCTTTTTTTTTAGATGGAGCTGTGAATAATCAAAATTGCCACATAGGGGGTGTTTCACCTCCCAATGTCCTGCACGACGTAATGCACCCCTAATGCCTGACTGCATTCTGATTATGTGACTGCGTGGTGTGGATTTACAGCTGATTTTATCCTCGAACCGTTTTTCTTTGAAACTCTCCTCAAGGTCCCAAAATATTGCTTTGTCACGAGTGCACGATACAGTGAACGCCTTCGACAGCAAGTCATTCCTGCTTTACAAGAACGTCAATGTTTGCAGACTACCACCTTCATGCAAGATGGAGTAGCTCCTTACACTGGGTGCCAAGTCAAAGAACTGCTTCGTGCTAATTGGCGAGAATCGTGTAATATCCAGAGCTCTTCCAGATGCCTGGCCTTCTCGTTCACCCGGCTTAAATCCCTGTGATTTCCGGCTGTGGGGATTCCTAAAAGACCGTGTTTATGGAGGAGGAATGAGGACTTTACTTGAGTTGAAAGCCAACATTACACGCCATCTTGCTGAAATGCCTCGAGAGTTACTTCGGGCTACCATTGAACACACTACAATGCTTTTTAAACACGTAATTGATGTCAATGGAGCACACATTGAGCGCATTCTGTAACTGAATGTTCTTTAATAATTTAGACAGTTTTTTTGTCCTTCTTTAGGCGCCACAACTACCCATGGTGGTCAAAATTTGACTTACTAATTCTTAATATGCATTAATATAAACAATATCACATTAATACAAATGAATGAAAATGTGAAATACTAAAATTATAACTATACGCATGAAAACAAATGCTATCCACATGAAGACAAAATTACAAATACGAAATATAAAAGAAAATTAATCAATAATTATCTGTAAATAATTAAATTCAAATTTAATAATTTTTTTGCTTGTGGAATAATTCAATATGAGGATCGACACATAGGACAATGAAGGCTTTTTTCCGACGAACATATGCCGAGCAAGTAAGATCACATTATTTACTATGATTACAATATGGGCTTTTATCCATCTGAGTATTTGTCATGTGAACAATCATTACTATGCGGTTTCTTCTATGTTTTGTTTCAGAAAACCAATACAAATATGAGCCAGTTTCTCTTAAAAGGTTCTTCTAAGAAGAAACTTCCCCTTTAGATAGATAAACCTAGCATGATTTTTCTGCACCTGCTTTCCTTTTTTATGATAAATCTAGCGTGCTAGCTGCTGTGTTTGCTTTTTCACAGTCAGAATAATCCAATGCAGTGGTAATTAATTAATCAGTTTTGTAGAAACGGACGTAATTTCTCATTATCCTGTGAAGAAATAAACACACTTTATGAACTGGATTTGAATTTGATTCAAAACCTAGAAATATTTTCATTTTGAGAAGCCTGTGAGTCAGATCTGATGTTTCCTAGTGTCGTGTATTAATTTCCTCTTCCTAATAACCCAAATCCATGTTTTTATTATTTTAAAAAGTACGCAAATTTAATCTTTTGAACTAAAATATTTTCCACATACCTCCTTGCACCAATGGTTTGAGCAGAGAGAATTTCGATGGCATATTCCACTTTCAGTAACATGAATTCAGTTGCAAAAACGCATTCTTCAAACCTATGGGTGATCAGCCTGAAAGCTCGCAACCAGTTTGAATGAATTCCCATCTGCTTCGATATCATGTAGACATAGAAATACGTTTGCATATCATTTTCACTTTCCAGGAGCTAAAAGTATATTATTGTTGATACATTTAAATAATGTATGTAATATTTTCCTAGGCAGCATCGTCTCGAAAATTTACGCATAATTTAAGATATACAGACGTATTACATTTTTATTTCCCAAGGATATACATATATTTCAGAAGCAACACTGCCCGGGTTGTTATATTTACAAATTCAAATATTTTATATTCAATAATTGAATCTTTTATACGATTTAAACAGACTTCACGCATTAAGTCCTTTAAAATCAGGCTCCAGCTGCGGAGCGGTAAAGTCATTGAATACGATATTTTTTCTATGGGACAAGAGCCTGTTTCTCTCAGAAAGTCTTTCGGGAAGGCATTCTTCCTCTTAGGCAGATATCCTTAGTGTGTTTTTCTATAATTAAATAAACCAAGGCAATAATTCTTGTTAGCAGTAATATAGTTTTACAGACAACTTCTCTTTGAAACTACATTTCTATATTCAATAAAAATACATATTTTCTTACATCAGTAGGGCTTACTAGAGTTAAAAAACTTGCTGGAAAGGTAAGAAAATCCTAATTTATTAAAAATAAGTAGTTTGTATCTTTTTAAAGGTAGAAAAATAGCATACAATGTTTTCCTGAAAGGAAATTGTAAGGAAAAAGGTTTGTGCGAAAACATTGGTTGTCAGAATATCTTACTTTAAAGAAATTCTTTCATTCCCTGTGCGTGCCTCAGTAGTGTAAACCGTTAACGCATCTACTTAACAGTTGGAAGATCCGTGAATTGAATCATGAGGAGGAAAATATTTTGTATCGAAAAAATTTAATAGTATCTGTAATTTGTGACGACGATTTAATAAAAAATTGTAAGATTACTTTTAGAATAATCTGAAGCTATTTATATTTACTTGAGTGTAGTGAATTGATAATAATTTTATTATGACAGATTGCACTTATTCATTACACTCAGATGCAATCAAATGTAAGTAATCCAAGAAAAAGGTTTAGCATGATATGTGATAATATGAGAATATCGATGCACATTCAGGGACGTCAAACCAACTTCAGCCTAAATGGAATATGTTTATATTTGCAACGAAAACAAAAATTCTCAAAAGATGCGATTTCATATGAAGTTTGAAGTGAATTTAATGAAAGTTTTACTGCGATTCGCACTTGTATGTACATCTTCACTAAGTAGCATTGTCCTTTAGAATTTCGTCATGGAAATTCTTGAGATTTGAAAGGAAATCTCCAATCTGGATTCGAAATCATTGTTCTTTGTATTTTGGTGTTCCATATTGTTAAGGGGAATTGTTAGAAATCTCAGGCATTTAAAAGAAATTATTTTCGCTCATATAGCAATCTATGATTCTAGAAATACAGGGTGTTTATAAATTCAATATACATTTTTGAGAAATATAATCTAATTCCAATTTCTTTGGAGACGGCCTGAAAGAAAGCTGCCAACAGAGGAAAGAATAGCCACTGTTTGAGCCCATATACGTGGATTAACGTATGAACAAGTGCAGGAAGACTTCGCCTGTAAATTCAGAAAACAAGCCTCTACCAGAGCAGCTATTAAAACTTTGGTAAACAAATCCAAGCGAACTGGTTGTGTTAAAGACCATCCTTGTAGACCTTCAGTAACGCCACAACTTCAGCAAAGCGTACGAGAAGCGATAACGCGTAGCCCCTAGGCATCTACATGAAGACTCAGCCGGAAACACGGTAATTCGCACACTATTGTTTGGTAAACTGTACGCTGTCTTTTAAAAAAGGATGCCTACCACATTCAAACTGTGCATAAGCCGAGGACTATGCAGCTCAAATATGCAGGACTATGCAGAAAATATGCAAGACTATGCAGCAACAAATCATAACACATAAGACATGTGTTATGATTTGTTGGAAACTGTGGAGTTTGTTGGAAACTGTGGAGTATGAACACCCTGTATAACAGATATTTTATCTCATCAAACTTGCCTTGCTATAGGAATAATCATTTATTTAAATGATATGTGTAAAGAATACTGAAATAGTTGGGAATAAAATCAGTATTTGAGTACAATATTCTTAATATGATGACTTTAGACAGGTATTCATGAAATGAAATATCACTAAATACGAATAATGATCTTTAAAAATTAAGGATATTGTTATAAAGGGTCACAGAATGCTGTCTTTTCTACCATTTAACTAACAGATGTATAGAATAAAATTTAGCATACCAACCCAGTTTCAGATTTTCTAAACCTGCCACAGCCATAGTTTTTGTGTTATTATAGAATGACTAAGATTTCTTCAGTTTTTCATGTAGATGAAAGTGTAGGAATTAAAAAGTTAGAATAAAAGTTTGTAATATACATCGTATTACTCTAGAAATTAAAAAAAGCCTAAAGAAAGCGCTGTTTTACATAAAACGGAGTATAAGACAAAACAAAATCAGAGAATTCTATTTCTAGAATTTTTATATCCAAACACAGGATCTACACTGGTTATCATAAACTAAGAAAAATCACAAAAATTGCGATAACTCCCTCAAAAATAAGCCAAACCGTGTAAAATTTGAATATGTTGCTAAGTAAGAGTAGCTGAGTAAAACTGCGATATGCAAATTAGTGGCGCTGCACTCGGAATACGTCATCCGCGAGGAGCATAAAAGTCCATGTTTGAGAACAAGCCACATATTTCACTGTGATACATGACATCAGAAATCTGAGATAGCCAATTCGTAACAATGATCTCCAGGCATCATTTGCCTGCAGAACTACGATAGAGAGCCATTGGGAGACTAGAGGCAGGACAAAGTCAAACAGAAGTGGCCAGATGGCTAAATGTGAGTCCTTCTGTGGTTCATAGACTTTGGAGGCAATTTCAAATCACAGATTCGGCACCTAGGAGGTTCAGCCAAGGATGGCCAACTGCTACGACGAGCGCCGATGACTGATATTTGACATTATGTGCACTCAGGAATAGAACCGCTACTCCGACTCTTCTTAGATCCTTGCTGCAGCCACCGGAAGGTTGGTGTCAACGACAACTGTGCGTAGAAGGCTTCACGAAGGTGGTCTGTATGCGAGGCGAACAGCCATTTGCATGCCGCTCAAGTCACGCCACAGGAGGGACCGTTTGCAGTGGGCACGACAACATGTCCACTGGACGCCTGAGCAATGGAGGGCTATTCTTTTATGGATGAGTCCAGGTTTTTAGTCTAGAACGCGATAGTAGGCGTTATTTGATATGGAGAGAACCTGGAACCCGTTATCATTTCGTCAAACATCCGTGAAAGAGATGCATACGGAAGAGACGGTGTCTGTGTTTGGGGTGGAATCTCTTTGGGGGGACGCACAGGCCTCCATGTTTTTCCAAGGAAAACCGTGAATGCATATGTTTATAGACATGACATCCTTGATGCTTATGTGCGCCCATATGCCGGGGCAATAGGTGATGCTTTCCTGTTAGAGGACGACAATGCAAGACCACACAGAGCTCGCATAGTATATGAATATCTTCAACAGGAAACAATTATGCGCATGGAGTGGCCAGCTCGATCCCCGGACTTGAAAATATGAACAAATTCCCGGACTATCGAGCACGTTTGGGATGCTTTAGGGAGACGTCTAGCTGCTTTCAATCCGGTCCCTTAGACCTGTTGCCGCGCTTGCATTTGCTTTGCAAGAGCAATGGCTCTCGCTTCGAATGGAACTGATAGACCGCATAATTGAAAGCATCACTCATCGCTGAATGTGCTGTATTGCTTCTAGAGGCGATTATATTCCATATTGAAGGTACTTTTACTATAACAAACTGACATCTTCGATTTGTTCATTTTATACATTTGCTAATTTCTATACTACCATAATTGTCTGGTAATTTCTTTTTATGTTATTTGATACCTTACTATGTGTTGCATATTGTGGGTAAGTTTCATAAAATTCTACGTGCAACTTTTTCAGTAATCGTGATTTTTGTGATTTTTCCTTATTTTATGATAACCAGTGTAGTCAGAAGATAATCAGTTGAGTGCTTGCCTGTTTTAATAAAATGTATCGAAAATTACAAGAAACACAATCATATTTTCAATATAATCAAAAGATTAGGAAAAAATCTAATATAACCCAGTGTTTCATGCTTTCATTTTTACTGATATGTTATTTAATCTGGCTTTTCTTACCTATGTAAATACCTTTTTTAGATTTTAAATATTTTTACGAATTTCTGAAAAAGAACCTCGAGAAATTAATTTTTAGTGGTAATTATTAAATCTTAAGAAGCAAAACGAACATGGAAACACAATTACTTACGTAGATTTCCTTCTACAAAGGTACAGAATAACTGAATATTACATATCATTTTCAAAGACTGTCAATTACCTGAAGGCATTCTTGCATGACATCTTGCATTTCTAGAAGCGAAGCTGCCTGGTAGACTCTTAAAAATATATTGCAGTCGATGTGAAGATTTCCCGTGTACATATAGCGCAGCAGGACATCAAATTCATTGCTGTCTATCAAGGGTATTTCGACCTAAAAATAAAATATATGCTGCAATGAAATTAAGTTACTACTGTAAACTTTCGATTAATCTTAACGCTTTTCCAAACAAATAAATCAAGATAAAGGTACATATATATTATCTATCAAAGTGATCTAAAGATCAATATTTTGAAAATAATTCACTTTAGAGATTTAATAACGTATGTTACAGTGAAACACATGACTCTAAAGATATTTAAGAACAATGGCCATTTAAGGCTCGTAGCAGCACTGAGTCTTGATGTGAAGAAACAAAAAAGTCGGTAACTCTAGGACACGCCTCACAAGAAGATATTACCATGAAGGGAAACTGGTCGGAAACGAGGAGGACATTGGGTGGATAGAGTACTGGCGAATTGACCAAGAGGGTAATTATAGTTAAAATAGAGGGAAATTATCAACAATCTTAGAAGAGTTTTCACAAGAAAGGAGTACGATGGGGGGGACTGATCGGAGATGAGAAAAGCATAGGGAGGATAGACGAATGACGAACTGATGAGGGTGGTAATTTTACTTAAGGTAGCGGGAAAAGATCAACAACCCTAGTACAGGTTTTACAAGAAAAGTGTAAGATGGTAGAAACCTAATCGGAGGCAAGGAGGACATTGGGTAGATAGAGGAATGGCAAACAGACGAAGATGATAATTTTACTTAAAATAGCGGGAAAAGATCAACAAGCGTAGAACAGTTTCCACAAGAAAAGAGTACGATGAGAGAAAACTGATCGATGTCGAGGAGGGCATTGGGTGGATAAGGGAATGACGAATTAACCAAAATGGTAATTTTAATTAAGATAGCGGGAAAATATCAGCAGCTATAGAATAGTTTTCACAAGAAAGTTATTTGATGAGCGGAAACTGCTTGGAGACAAGGATGGCATTTAATGGAATGAGGATTGGTGGATAGACCAAGATGGTAGTTTTAGCGTTCGACTGAATCATCACCAAATTAATGCGTATAGTATCAACGAATGCTGTTGAAAAAAGTCTTATTAAGGAAACGTCAAATTGTATTTTAGTCAACTAGAACTTTTAAAATGGAACAGAACAAGGCCTAATGTAGTATGTGCGAGGATAGTATTTCTGTATTACCTTGGCTCGCTCATGAATCTGAACATAGGACCGAAAATGCTTATACAGTTGTGAACGCAATTGTATGTTATAACAAACTATATAATTGAGGACTAAAGAACATAAAGAAATTAAAAAAAACACAAATCTTGAAGAAAGAGTCCAACACGTAATACAATCAGTTCACACATGCACGAAATTATGGTGGGTTTCTTTAAGAATTTTATATATACATTTTTAACTGAAATTGTATTCACCAGATAGAATTGTATTATTCCTTTTGCTTTTAAACTATCACCACCAGAAGTCAGCTTTAAACTGACCTGCTACGGATAACATTATTCTTCATGAGATCCTACAACCTTCATGCAGGACGAAGCATCACCCCATACTAAACTACACTTTCAGAATAAATTGCATACTATCACTTTCAGCATAAATTGCCATTCAGATCTTTAACACTCAAGTTCTGTTATCATTGGGTCTTACTGAAATTACAAATATGTAGAGATTGTCCAAAACCACTGGCAAGGCGAAAAATCGCTTAGCAAAGGCCAAGCATCTATAACTATAGAGATGCTATTTCTGGTATTCATACATCTTAGCTTGTCCTAATATGAATAACAACAATTACAGTATTCAGAATTATGAAGTATTTTGTAGTTTTGATATTAAAGCGCTCTCTGGCGAGCATAACTGTGATCAAAATGTTTTAAAATAAAATTCCGTAGTTTGGAGAGGCGTAGTTGGAGGGCACAATATCTTGTCATTTTATGCATTTTTATACTACTTATCTTTACTACGCATTAAAATATCAATAAAATTCCAATTTCTTATTTGTTTACTGATCATAAGAAAAAACGTTTTAAACTTCTAAAAGAATCTCAGCGTGCTGTTATTCACTAAGCACAAAACTTATTCTCTTGACTAAAACTACAGTAAATCGCCGAATCATAATAGTTAATTTAGCGATTCGATGAAAATTTCTCTGATATTTCTCTAAATTGATGCCTGACATATTTACGATATAGAATTTCTTCATTATTTTTTGAATTTGATAAATAAAATATTAATTAGATTAATTAAAAATAACTAACTGAAACCCGACAATCAAATTTATCACATTTTCACGTACTCTACGCTAATTTTTAAACCCTGGACTGAAGTGGAAGTTCCTGAAGTGGAAACATATAAATTAAGACTGATATTCATGGTGTTAAAGCTTGTATTCCTTACTTTTCCCCTCTAATGAGTTTCTCATTTCTGTCTTGCAAGTACATCATACAAACGGATTAGATTCTCTTTAGATGTCACTTCTCACCTTGTTTGTGATAGGCCTTCCTTCTGAACTTATCAGCTTCTGCCTGAGATAAGGGCTGAAACATATTAAAAGAGATCTGTGGGATCTGAATACTTTTCCTTTCACAAATACTTCTACATCTGTAAGAACGTTTCTCTTGAAAATATCTTCATTAAATTGCTTCAACATTTGGGCATGTTTATTACTGGCGCCTTGGCGCATGCTAGAAGAAATCGTGGGCAAAGAGGTAGAGCTCTTATTCTTATGCATGGCTTATCTGAAAGAAGTAAAAATGTAGAATGAATATCAGATATTGTTACATATTTAAAATATGTCAGTATTTGTACCTGTACATTGATTTACAACAAATCTAATAAGAATTACGTTCGTCAACTTTTATGTTGGTCTATCAGGACTACTATTTCTTCTTATTGCCTTTGCGAACATACTGGAGTCCTGAGTAAGAACAAGGACTTTACTTAAAACTATATTTCTGAAAATGTAGAAGATACGAAACAAATGGAAAGTTTCAATTACCCTTTATTCTTCACACAGTTTACAGACGTTCCCGCGCTTCGGGATACAAAAACCAGTACTTATGGTCTGAAACGTAAAGATAATAAATAAAACTAATTAAATTTAAATAAGAGCTAAACTCAAATAAGACTAGTAACGGAAAAATTGGTCTTTAAATCTTTACGTATGTAGTACGCAGAATGCGGGAGAACTACAATACGTCTTCAATATTAAGAGAACTAAATTTTGGCCTTAAAAGCGGACAGCAACTGACTGAAAAGCGCGCGTGAGGTAAAGTAGCGAAAAGTCTCTCTCTCTAACTCCTTGGCTAAAATCCACGACTTAAATACTTAACAGTTTGCAAGCTCAATTTGCATAACTAAAACTAACAGCGTTCATTCTGGCCAGAAGAGAAAAATAAGAGAAGATAGTAAAGTTTTAAAATAAAATAAACGTTAGTAAAACTTAAAATCCTTGCAGGTCCTTTCAGTACAAAGCGTATCTGTGTTGATCTGCGGTACGGGCGAGGGCACGAGGGATTTTTCATATTTGTTTACTTGTAAAAGCCAATGGGCACTACAAAATAACCTTAGACCATCTGAAATGTCGATTATTTTAATCTCTTTCATCCCTGACATGCTTCAGAGAGTCATAGATGGTTGGAAACTGTGAGTGGACTAAGTTAGGTCGTGATTGCGTATTGATTTTTCTAGTAATTTGTGATTATTAATTCATATTTATACAATATCGAAGCATGGCCTTCAAGTTTGAATTGAAGGGTGTGGCGGCTTCACTCGCCATGCAAAAGAGTTATCACTCCACTTCACTGGCCTTTTTTAAGCAGTGGTTTGGATGATCTTGCTAAGTCTATTGACATCAGGCGAATGAGGACGTGGATGAGCTCGCCAAGAGGCTGCCCATAACATCGACGCCCAAGAAATCTCCATTACACTGTCGATATCACATCTCAAGAGGCCCGTACGGGAATCAGTATTAAGGAAATGGCAGAAGGAGTGGGACGAAATACCGCAAGGTCGACGTACTCATGACGTCTGTCACAAAGTAATGACGGATCGCCTGTACTCTGTACCCCAGCTGATCAGATACATAACCTGTCAAGGACCCCTTCCGCCATATTTCTTCGACGGGGGGGGATATCATCTACCAATGTGTGTGTTTGGGGCAATTGGGGTAAGCCTAAGCACTGCGTCACCGCATGTCCCCTCACGAAGGAGTGGCGCATGCCTCATCCGAACAACGAGCGACTGTTCATTAGGCAGCCAGCAGTTGTTAAGAAACGTAAGTGTATAGTGAGCAAACTACAGGCACTAGGCCAGAACTAATAAAATAAGAATTTGCGAATACACATAACGTTACATAAGAACAATGGTAAGGTGGAACAAAATTGTGTAATGAGTCATAACTTGATGTACTAGAATCCAAACTTGAGAGGAGTACAGTGCATAAGATGAAATTTAAATTATAAATTGCGATTTATGAAGAGTCATCGACTTTAAGAATTCTGCAGTGTTAACCTTCTAAATTTAAAATTTGTGAACATGCAAGGACTACGAAAGAATTTTTCAATAGTTCTACTTGGAAGGGGTGTATCTTCACTGCAATTCGAATTCGCAGAATATGATAAGAGTTTTACCGCTCAGCCGTCATATTTCAATTCCATTTGAACAAGAAATATTGACCTTCGTTACATAGAATGAATTATAAATTAAAAAAGCACATGTAATTTAGTAAGCTGCATGATGATGAATAGTTCTAGGTCATTTATATGGTTGTAAAACCGTAGGATCACAATTTTCAATATTAGAAATATATGAAAAACTTGAATTTAGAGCAGAATTAAAGAAACTGTGCGAACTCATTAAAATATATTCTTGTGCATTTGGAATTTGTAAGTCTTTGTGAAGCTGCAGAGCTCTGAGGATTCTATTTTGAAATACAATGATTTTTCTTCAAAGCTTTTAGGGTCATTCCTTTCGAACTCTTGAAATGCAGCTTAAATACTGCTTCTGAAACACGTTTAGATTAGAATACTACGTCATTTAAAATTTACATTCCAGCACGAATTGAAAGCAGAAGGGAAAGGAAAAGTAAAACTAAAAATAATTGGTTAGAATAAAATAAAGTCTTTACAGAACTTGTATATTAATTAGGTATAATTTGTGCGGTATATATGAGTATTTCTTATCTTCGTTAATTGTGTATTACATATACGTGATTATGAACCAAATACGTATAACTTATGTATGATATATATGCATATATATATTAGATTAAAACTTGTAAACGTTATTTAATACAACCCACAATTAACTGAAATCAATGAAATAAAATGAAAAAAAAAAAAAAAAAGAGTTAAAAATAATTTTTTTTTGTCTTAGCAACGTTGAATAAAATATCTTTAAATAATGAAGTTATTTCGTGACTTACTTTATATGAAAATTTGATCAACTATATATCTACTATTATTTTAGAGGAGTCTTACTATTTTAGGGGGGATTTCTGTAACAGTTATTTCTGAATATTAGAAGGGCTTTCCATAACAGTAAAAATGAAGGCCCGGTGTATAACCCTGGACCTCTTATTTTGTATATCGATACCTTCTTACAGGACTTTTCCAAGTTGCCGCACATTTACATAAATATCTCTTCTCAGACTAAAGGAATGTAAAGTATATGCCAATCCTCAGACTAAAGGAATTACTGACAATTATTCGAAACATTAAAAGGAATGACAAATAATTACAAACAGAAAGAATTTAAAACAATTTATGCAATATATTTAGATAAGCGCAAAGAAATATTTTCAAAGAAAATAACACATTTTAAAAAGCAAATTTTGTGTGTATACTACATCCATTTGCTAAAAATACGAATCCAGTTCAAAGTCTACTTTATAAAAAGAGAAATGTCATTGTCCCATAAATGCGGCCTCTTTTAAGAAATTGGCTACTTAACCCTTGATGATTGTGCTCACTTCTCCACCCTCCATCTAAAGCTCAGGGCAAATCAAAGCTGACTTTCTAATCCTTCATCGCAGTGTGATGATGTCACCAGACTTCATTCCCTCCCCATTCACATAAGTACTCATCCCCTATTCTACCTGGTAAAAATTTAGAGACCCCGATCAATAAGATGGGCTGCCTCGCCACAGCGCATGCGCGAGTACAAGCCATGTATTCCATGCGACTATGCTTTAGCTCCCGTTTAAAGAATACCGAATAAGACAAAGGAGATCTCCCCAGGTTTTACACCATGGTTGCGAAAACCTGAATATTCGGAATATTCGGAAAAATGGCCTGATCAGTGAAGTGAAATATTTTGTTCCATTTCGACTCGAATTCTGGTGGCATGTAACATGGAGTTCCTGCTCTACGCTCTGGTACTCAGCGCGATGGGGAATGTCGGACTCGCGGTTCCGGATATGAACCACAGGACTGGTATTTTTTTTTTTTTATTATTATTATTTTTTTTTTTTTAAAATTTTGTTTTTTGACATTTTACCAACTATGGATTTAATAGGTATTGCTTGTCTAAAATGGAATAAACAGTTACGAAACTGTTAGATGTTTTATCATATTTTTCCCCTCAATGAGTTATACTAATATGCAACAGCAATTAAAAAAAAAGACTAATCTGCATTGATGAGGAACTGTTGTTAAGAGCTGACTGTATTTTCTGTAAAATGAATTTCTTTCTGAAATATGAGATATGTGTTTATTTAAAAGTATGTCTGCATTTAGCGTCTGGTAAACACAGATTAATATATATGAAATTATTTATAAGAAAGTAGATATATTTTAGATGCATTCAATTTATAAGTAAATTTTAATCTAGTTTTGGAATATAAACTAATTACTCATAAAAGATATTAAAAAAATTACATAATGCCTTTAATTAAGTGGCAAACTGCCCATTTTAAAAATTTATCATCTAAATAAAAACTGTATTTGACAATCACTGTTGCTGAAACAAATATTAAAGGGTACAAGACATATTAAATGAAGCAAAAATAGAATTAAAATATTATTATTATTTAGATGCGAAAAGGTACAAGAGCAAGAGTAAATTTAGATTAATATTTAGGTGAATATTTTTTAGTTGTCAATATGAAGAAATCAGATTTTTCCTCTCAATATTTTTGATGAATTGACTTTCTTTTGATAAACATTAAAGTGTATTTAAACGCATACGAAACAACTGCATTTGTTTAAAATGCACTAGCTCCGTATGAGTATTAAAATTACAATTGTTTATTAATCAAAATTACCATTTATTAATAAATTGTTAGGAAAAGGGGAAAAAACCCAGGAAAAAGTATTGGTAGAGAAATTTTTGAAATAACACTATAATTTAAAGCAATTGAAATACTAAAATTATAAGCAGTTAACTTTACAATATTGAACAAACCGTAATTCTTGGATAAATTTGGATAAATTAAAATAGTAAAGCTTATCAAACATTATTTAATAAATAGTTACTAAATACAATATTACATACAAGACTGTTTGGGAAGTAGCAGGTAATAAACGCAAATTTTAAGATTAGGCACTCTATGAGTAGAAATTATTTTTTATTACATGCAATGATACCTTATGCTTTCATGTCAAGTGTGATTTATTTGAAAGCCCGCAATGTTTTTCTACTGGTCCATTATGAAGCATTTTACTTTGACCATTTTTTTCCCTTTTCTTTTCTATCTTAATGCAGTTTTTATGAATATTGAATTTATACTGTATTTCTTTCTATATTAATATACGAATTTCAGTTTAACCGAGCGAATGCGGTTATTTAAAGGTGAAAAGAAGAGTGAGGAGTAATGTTGCATACATATGATTTATATATAATAGGCCAATACGTATGAGATGCGTAAAATGCATGCAATATTGTGGACAATTTTAATTCAAGTATAAATAGAAAAATATGATTTATTAAAACATTTTGCGGAATTTCAGCCTTGCACGATTTTGAAAAGCACCATCGTAGCAAAACATTTAAACAATTTTTATTTTCACTTTTGATATTAAATATTTCCCAAGTTAATTTTACGATATAAATCGTTAGCTGTTAAAGTTAGTTTAACAATATAAATTATTAGATGCATTCTGTTATGCTAATATATACTGACATCTGGATTAAAAATAAATTCAACGAGATTTATAATATTTCAAATTTTGTTATTATTGGAATGATGTAATCAGCAAATAATTTTAAGAGTTATTTCACGCTGATAGATATGGGCTGAAGTATAAGAGACAACCAGTTGTTTACCATGTGGGGAAGCAGTTATTGTCGTGTCATTACGTGTTATTATGTGTCAATTGTCAACTATATTAATTATAGTTGACACCTGACACGTATTATTTATTTCTTCGTGATTAATTTAATAGGGTTTCCATTCTTTATGGCAAATTGTCACCCAATGCTAACTAAGAAACTTAAAAAAACCGATGGTTTTCATAATGGTTTATGAAATAAACGAAACTGCGTATTTTTGGAATGCGCTCAATCAAAATTTGAATAGAGCATGGGTTTGTAGCTGTTGTTCCTATTTTGTCTTGTTATTGTAATCCATTTGTGTTCAATTCATCAACTGTTACGAGAAGTAATGTTGTTAGAAGCTCAAAATGCATCTTAGTGCGTCCAAATTATTTTTCTTTTTGCGGCATTTTCACAAGGTGTTGCATATTTACAGGATTTACAATAGTTAAATAAGGCTAAAATTAAAATTATAATAGTTTAGCGTTTTTTCTAATTAGGTGGTTAAACTTCAGCTTGATGAACTTCTATATAATTTGGTGTAGCCTGCATTTCTAAAGAGACAATCAATTTTGCAAAAAACAATTCAAAGCTAATGTGTTAAATATATGAAGAAAAGTTTTCTTTATAAAATTATTTTCAAAATAATACGGTATTTAATATGTTTGGAACTGGCTTTATATATAAAGTAGATTTAAATTCTCGAACTACATGCTTCCATGTTGATGTATTTTTTTTAAATTATGGCAAAGCACTCGAAGGCTATCTGCCTAAGGGGACAGATGTCTTCGTGGAGGACTTTCTAACTGAAACTGGCTCGTATACACGTTACACATGGGGAAAACCACGAAAACGCCCATGCAGCCAGCACGTTCGCGGGATTCGAGCCTCGGACCGAACTACCAGCGTTCAGCGACTTTACCGCTCAGCCGCTGGTGGGCCTACACATGCTTGCATGAAAGTTTAGGATTTTTGTACCAAGCTTTATTTATACATCTTTAGGTATGAATTATCAAATTAAATATCTGAATTTAGATTTGTAACAGAATACACACCACATCATGCGCTGGAAAAGAGATTAAAATATTCCAAAATATTTAATTACATCTTTAGCGTGATATTAAAGGTTAACCTTCTAGACTTTTATTGAGATCATCATAAAATTTACCTAGATATATTAATCATACAACTAAGCTGTCCGTAATAAATTGTTTTAAACTTTTTTCATTCATAAAAATAAAAATAAATAAAATTAAAAAATAAATTTGAAAAGTTTCAGATTTTAAATTGCGTTTTTATAAACAATTTGTGTGTTACCTTTATTTATTAAATATTATGTTATTCGCACTTAAAGCATAAAATTCAGTTCAAGAGCAATATCGCAACACAGTCTCACGCGCTGGAGATAAAAATGCTTTTTTTTTTTTTTTTTTTTTTTTTTTTTTTTTTTCCGTACAGTGCTCCATTGCTCGCTTTGAAATCTTTGAGTTTGTTAATTAAAAATTCATTAGAGAGTTACAAAATATGAAATCGATAATAAAACAAATTCCAAATCTTAAATTTGGGCTTCATATATATAATTTACCAATACCATTGGTTAGATCAAAAACATTTTAAACTTAATTTTCTTTTTATCTAAGAAACTCGACAAGTAATTCTTCTTCTTAATGCAACAAAATTAATAGGGGCAAGGAGAGAAACAGTTTCAGGACAAAATAAAAAAGATCAGGTAAAGGAAGAAAAAAAAATACTTAAAGACTTCTTCTCTCTGTTAAGACTGTTTAATACTGGTTGTTTATTCTGATATCGAAGCCAAGCAAACAGTTTGGATGCATGGTTGGATTTTGGTGGTTTTTCATATTTGTAACGTTAATGGAAGCAAGTTTCTCTAAGATTTTCACTGAGTTGCTTAAGTCCTTCGGCTCACCAATGCCGAGCGGTAAAGCTGCTCAGCACTGGTAGTTCAATCCGAGTTTAAATCCCGCGAACGGGCTGGCCGCATGGGTGTTTTCGTGGTTTTTCGCATCTGTAACAGATATACGAGCCATTTTATTTAGAAAGTCTTCCATGAAGGCATCCCTTATTTCAGACAAGATAGCCTTCGAGTGCTTTTCCATAATCGAATAAACCAAACCAAACCAACTTCAAGTCCTATACGGAGGCATCCCTTTTCTTAGCAGACAAACTTCGAGGACTTTGCCATATTCAAATAATCAATCAACCAAGAAACACTAAATTGCCCTTCACTTAACCGAAGAAACTGCTATATTTTCTAAATGAATATCCTTCCACTCAAAGATTGGATTGGATTATTCAGTTATGGCAAAGCACACGAGGGCTATCTTCCTAAAGGGAGGGATGCTTTCCTTTCTAAGGGAAACTGGCTCGTATACACGTTACACATGGGGAAAACCACGAAATCGCCCATGCAGCCAGCCCGTTCGCTGGATTCAAACCTCACCGAAGTACCAGTGTTCAGCGTCTTTACCGCTCGGCCGCTGGTGGGCTCCACTGGAAGAAGCGCGAAATTTAAGAGTGAACTCCTCACTTCATTGAAGGAAATCTATAAAGACGTTTCGGCTAAAAGCAAACATTCGGAACTGACAGATTTTATATAGAAAGTAGACCTTAGAACTGATGAAACCTTAGCTGATGAAATTGATTGTTAAAAAAATAATAAAATAAAGTAATGACAATTAATAGTGAGGATGAATAAAACATTACGTAATTTGGATATTTAATAAATTTATAAATTAATCAACATATTTCTATGAATTATAAATGAAAATAAGACATTTTTTCCCACATTTCGGATGAGTCCCTAACTCTTTTTTGTACTAGACCTTTCTTTTCTGTAACACAAATTATCTTTTATTTAGAGTCTTAACAACCTTGTCATACGGATTTTACGTGTATTTCTCATTTACATGGTAACTGAACATACGTGTGAGTCTTATCAGTTTCAGAAACAAAGTGCATCACGCCATGCTTAATTAAAGATCTCTATTGGAAAGTCAAAATTGTTTGGAGGTCAAGAAAATCTTACATTTTTTTTAAAGATAGCTGCGTACTTGAGATAAATAGCGAAAAAAACATTAAAGAAAAATTTAAAGAAGAATGTGTTTTACTTTTTTATGTCACACGTAATCCTTACTTAATAATTAAAATTTGCATTTCAAATTGGCAAATACGTTGGCAGTATACCTTTCGTTTTCATATGCTGATATTGCTTACAGACTTACGATAAACACCAATAGTTTGGTAATCTTTCTGAAAAAAAAAAGGGGCGAAAATCACCAACTTTCACCCGATAAGTAACTTTTACGTTTCCATCTATACAAAATCACCAAACTGTGCCAGGGTGGTTGCGTTAATATGTAGGTACCGAAGTACTAATTTAAATAAAGTACCCAATTAAATCCGATTTTTTAATAGTTTATATTTTCACCCACGTATCGGTCAGTAGCGGTGTATAGGAAAAGGATATGGATTTATTAATAAAAGCACATTAAAGAAAAATTTAAAGAAGAATGTGTTTTGTTTTTTTTATGTCTCACGTAATCCTTATTTAACAATTAGAATGTTAAAGAAAATTTAATAATTAGAATCTTAAAGAAAAATTTAAAGAAGAATGTGTTTTGTCTCTGCTTAGAGAAGGTTTTTCTTTGTGGAGGTGCTTTTAAAGGAAAATTGATTTATATTCATATCACCCATGGGAAATACATGAAAACTTCCACGTAGTCAGCCTGTTTCCGATTTGTAACCAGGATCGAATTATTAGTGTTCAACGATCTTATCTGCTCGTGCCCTGCTATGCCTTCCTAAATAAAAAAAAAATAATTCATGTTTAAGAAAAAGCTGACTGCTGAATATTTGAAAAACGCCTAGCTGCATGAAACGAAGTACGATTGTCTTGTATGTGGGTAGTACTAGTAATCAGCTGAGTTTCTCACTATAGAGGGCGTTATCGACAATAATTATGAAATTCAATTGCTTTTAAACTATTTAGATTCTTATGGAAGAAACTTGCTATATATCATTACAGATTACTTTATCCTAAAATTGAGTCGTAGTTTGGCATAGGTTTGAATAAAACTCTAACGATTTCGAGGACTATCAGACACAAGCCTCTCTTCTTTGAAGATGAGAGAACATGTGTGTGATCATCGTCGAAATCAATAGATCTTTATTGAAAATGCCAAACTAAGGTAGCTTTTATGTCTAATTTTAAAATGTACAACTGACATGTTCATCTTACAGTTTGATCATTAAAATAATTGTTCACATTATTCGCCATTTTGATTGTGATGACTGCTGTAAATATGGACAAGCGTATTTTGTTAGTAAAATTTTGCTTCAAATACTAACTCTGTACTCTTTCGAACCAGACTGCATTTAAAAATTTTATCATCAAACTGTACTATTTTTCTTCGATAAGAGCTTTATTATGTGGTTTAATTAAGAAATTTAATAAACATTTTATGTTACAGGACAACACGCACCGACAAATTTTATCGAGAAAGATACGTGCGAAACCAGATACTTCCAGCTAGAAAACATACATTCATTTTCAACTGATTACAGCAGCGACGCAGCAGTTAAAACCTCTGAATACACGTCGTTCGACGTAACTTCAAACCCAGGTGAACGGGATGGCACCCTGTTTGGTTTTTTGTAGCTTTTCTCATGTGTAATGGGACTATAAGCCAGTTCCTCTTAGAAAGTCTTTCAGGAACGCATGCATGTTTTTAAGGCAGATGGCCCCAGTATGCTTTGCCATAATCAAATAGCCACTCAGAAGTCCTTTTCAGGTGATTTAGAGGAAGATAAAACTTTCCTAAATATACGAAATACATCTTTTACGCTATTTATTGTAATAAAAAAGAACGAAATAGGGTACTATTCGGTTTCGAGGGCCGTAAAAATTCGCCAAACTATTGTTGATGCCACTGCTGCCAAAAATAATTACGGCAACCCTAATAATTGCGGCAAGAAAGGAAGTATAATAGTAACTAACTATCTAAGATTGATGTTTTAATTTAGATGAGAGGGTTAATTTCATGTAATACTTTTTTATTATTATAATTTATATGAAAAAGGCTAAACATGACTGGAAGCACAAGAGTAAATAACTATTTCAAATCATTATTATAATTTATATAAAAATTGCTAAACATAACTGAATGGATGCCTGCATCGCTATTTCGCTACCGACTTTTCACTAAAGCATAATTTCATCTCGTTGGTTGTTCAAACGTAATTTGCTATAATGAATGATACCTTTTCTTTGAAAATATTTAGAATCGGAATTCAGAAGTGCAGAATCGCTCACTTATTTGTTTGCAGCGTTTTAAAAGGGTAAAAGCAATTGAATTTTTGTCAATTTTATTTTACTTTTTTAATGAAAATAGGTCGATGTGTACATAGATAAAGTCAAGGGGGTGCGCAGTGCCATTTTTGAGCAATTTTGGGAATTTTTTTTAAGTGAAAATAGGTCGATGTGCACATGGATACCGAGTATGTGCAATTTTTAAAAATGCTTCATGCAGTGAGTGATTCTGCACTTTATCCAAAACTCTATTGCCGACTTTTCATCATGGGCAATTCCCAAATTGTTAAATCCATAGGATATCAAAAAAGGATTTAAAATCAGAAAAGAATTTAAAAATTAAACTAGTATTTCAATGGCGTCTTAAGAAATATAGAACTATATAAACTTACGCAATCTGAAATCAGCGCGTACGCTACATTTGGCGCTCTGTTAAATGGGCGCGTTTGCTAGATTTGGCGCTTTTGTGCATACATTTTCGCAGCAATTTTTTTTACGGCCCTCAAAACAGAAGAGTACCCGAAAGGCTATATCACACGTAAACAAATGTTAAATCTGACTTACTTTAAAAATAAAAAAATAAAGACGTACTTTAAAAATAATAACACTGTTATAAGTGATAATAATTATATATTTAATTCAGCGATGGCTAATAGGCAATATTAGCGCATATATTTTTCTATGCGAAATTATTTGAATCTTGTCATCATAATCATTATTAGTATATTAATCATAGAATCATTATTAGTGGGCATTTAGCAGTTCTTTAATTATTCCTTGAAAACAGTTATTTTTAATAATTAGAGTTCCGTAAGATTGCGTTTCATTGCAGCAACACAAGCATTATTGGGGGTACCTTTTTTAATGAAGCAATTTCTAAAATGTGAACGGCATGTACTTAATATCACAAAAACATGAAAATTCTGACCTTAGTTTATCGCGCTAGCAATTGAACTTGCAGTGAAAAGAACACATTTCAGAGATTTTTATTTGTTCTTTCGAGATATCCTCTGTACCGTATTAAATGCATTTTACTCGAATGATAGCAAATTGAATTTCACGTGGTTCTGTAAACCAGTCCATCTAATTTCAGCAGTCGAAACTATTTAAACCTTAGTGAAATGCTCTTAATTTCTGATTTTATATTTCAATCAAGATGTAAATTTAACATTATATTTCAGGAGATTCTGACCACTGTAACAAGACAGTTGATATTTACCAAGCTGTGTCCAGTCCTCCCGTAACAGATGCAAACCGGGGGAAACCTTTACACTGCAGCTACAAGATACGCGTCAGACCTGCGAGAGATGACTGGGTGGTTTTCGTTCGATTTACGCGGCTAAAAGTGGGACAACCCAACTATGATCGTTCTCAGTGCATAGGAGGATACGTACAAATAGTCGATGGGTACAAAGACAGCAACAACAGGTGGGTAAAAGAACATTCAAATTAAGACACAATTAAAAAAAAACTTTCTTATATTAGTTTAAAACATAAACAAAACCCTTAATGTATTCAAAAAGCAAGGTATACGTAATAGTGCATTATGCATTCGAAAAGCACTGTATATGTATTTAAAAAGTATAACTGTGAAGAACAAGAAAAACAGTATTCAGTATGATCTAAAAATATCTGCGAAAAATGTGAAAGGAATAGAAGGGATTGCTATAAGCATATTTTGAAATGGAATGACTCTGGAAATGCTGCCGTGAAGTGCTAAAGGAAGCTGCTGAACAGCAGATATAGCGAACGGAAACTGAATACCTTGGCAATCGTTATCTGCACCTTTTTTAAGTAATTTTTCCGTTTTAACCTCAACCTCATAGGTAGCATGTGTCGGTGAGTTCCGCGTTTGTGTAGATGTGCATACCGCTCTAAATTTGCTCGGGAAATGAAGATTTACTCCAGCAGAATACTTTTACCTTCTTCTCAACGGCCTTCCTACATCAACGCACCATTTTTGCTCATTCATTTCATTATAAAATCTGCTTATTTCGGTCTAGTATATATTTCTTCTACATATTTTTAATCATCAAATATACGTATATATGTAAAATATAAAATATCTACCTTTCTAATAATAAATTAACAATAGCCCTTTAATTCCTCCTTAAAATTTGAGCATGTTTCCCTCTTCTTTTTTAAAAATAGCTAAGCAATAACTTTTACAATATAATCCTTAATTCCTGTGATTCTGAAAAGCGATCCGTCATCTGATCTGTATGAGGTATATCTTCCTGGAATGCGATGAAGTCTCAACATCCGAATATTAATACAAACATTCTTGTAATGGGATCCAAAATGTAATCTGTTTAATATAATCATGCTTTGGTATAAAATAAGGTGTTTGCTACAGAATATCTCTGTCGCCGCTCTTTAGTCACTCCTCTTTTATCCCTGCTTCGGCTTGATGTTTGCACAGAGCGTCTACTTTCCGCTTAGTCTATTGTCTAAGATGTAAGCTGTACAAAGTTGTCGGGTGCATGTCTTCCCCATAAATTATGCTTGTGAATCTGTTTTTGTGTATTGAGGCGTGACTATTACGAAAATAAAATTATGTGTTCAAATCAGGAGCCATGTCTGAAAGCTTTTCTTTCCCGTTCTCTCATTATTAGTATCCAAGCAACTTTTTTTCAAATTCTCAAGCCATCTATCTAAATAATTACATATATAGCTGTATACAGGGTGTTTATAAATGATTGGTGCGGTTCTAAAAATTAATAATAAATCAATGCATTGCCTTTCCCATAGTAAAACCTACATCGTAAGGATTGGAAGATGTCCATGTTTTTTATGCACTACCTGCTGTTTGATTGTCATACTTATTGCTGTTTGATTGTCATATTTATAGCGAAGCCGCAGGCGTCAGTTTTCAAGATAACGTCGCACCAGGGAAAGGCTTTTTATGTAAAGGTTCCGTTTTGAGGTTCCAGACCTTTGTTTACAGTGCAGCGTGAGTTTCGCGCAAGGTTTAGGAAACACCCACCACACAAGAATAGCGTAAGTAGGTGGTACCGATAGTTTGTGATAACTTTGCGAAGGCAAAAGTTATGGTCGACCTCAAGGTGTCTGATGCAGAAGTTGAAAGAATCCTCGAGGCGTTTCAGCGAAGTCCTCGCATGTCACTTAGTAAAGCAAGCAGGGACTTGGACACACCACCGTTCAAGCATTCATTCCACCTTCAAGCGCTCTTCGAAGCAACATACCTCATTACAGCCGGAAAACAGCTTGTTCACTGCAAGCTAATCGCGGCGCTCAGCGTTAGTCGGAAATCTGTTGAGATCTGTTTATACCGTGTGGAAGGTGTTGAGCAAGGGCTATGTTTTGAACCTTACAAAGTGGGATTAGTCAAGTCCTAACATAAGCAGATAAAGTGAAAAGGCGTGACTTTTGTGAAGAGATGCAGTTAAAAGTGGAGGAAGATAGTTTCGCAGAAAGACTCATTTTTTCCGATGAAGCCACTTTCCATGTAAGTGGCAAGGTGAACAAACACAATAGCCGTATGAGGATAAGCTAGAAACCATATACACGGATAGAACATCAGCTCCGAAATGGAACGTTTTCTATGCTGTCTTCCACGAGAAAGTGCACGGCCCATTTTTATTCGAACAGGAAGCTGTGGCCGATGATTCATTTCTAGACATACTGGAAGCCTGCTTGTTACCCCAGCTGAATTTAAATTATCATGATTACATTTTTCAACTGGGCGACGTTCCATCCCATTTTCTCAGGAATATAGAAAAGCTTCTGAATCGTGTTCTTCACCAACGCTGGATTCGAGATGATGCAACAGCAGACAACAACCTTTTTTCTTGGCCTCTCCGTTTACCAGATTTAACACCAAGCGATTTCTTTCTTTGCGGGTTTGTTAAAGACCGAGTTTATCTACTAATAGTGCTCGTGTCCGTTGAGGAATTTTGTGATGGGATAAAGCATGCACTACAGACCATCACGGCGGACATTCTATACCGAATATCTGAAGAAGTAGATTACCGTGCAGATGTAAGTCAGGTGAACAAGGGTGCACATATTGAAGGATGTTTGATTAATGCATAAAAATCTAGGACAGTTTCAGCTACTTGTGCTGTAAGGTTTGCCAATACGTTGGTGAAGTAATATATCAATTTATCATTAATTTTTAAACCGCACCATTCATTTATAAACACCCTGTATATAAACAGTTTAAAGTAAAACTAAAAACTACACAAAATTCTCTCTTTTTTCCCTTATATGTTTAAAGAGTTATCAATACTTTGATAGATTATACAGATAAAAAAACTGAAAGAAAACATTCTGTCCACGAACACTACTTAACTAACAGGACAACTTAACACTGGAAGAAAATTGTGCGTTAACGCAAGAAATTCTCATTCAAATGACACTAATGTTTATGAAAATTGTAACGCCATGAAATAATTATGAAAACTGAACCAAATTTACAGATCATGTAAAATGAGGTAAGACATGCAAATTATTAGAATTACAAAGGAATTGGGCATGCGTGAAATGAGAACCGGCCTCTTGTTCCATGTATATAAAACATTGTAAAGTTCCATGTACATACAAAACATCTATATTTTTAGAATTCATGAGTTACTGTATTTAGATGTTTATTTTATAGTTCTCCCTCCACCTGAAAGATGTTTTCATGCACCCACCGTTGAAGCATTCATTCTGCCTCAAGCGCTCTATAAAGCAAAATACTCGTACCTCATGACAGCCGGAAAACAGCTTGTTCAGTCTCCGTGCAAGCTAATCGTGGTGCTTAGTGTTAGTCAGAGTCATTAAAAGCTGTTTATCGTCCTCTGTCTACGGTGAACGTTTAATTAATGGTAAATATTTACGTTTAATTAATGGCAACAGGCGGAGGGTGTGATACCAACAACTAACGGAGTTCGAACGAGATCACATCATCGGTATGCGAGAAGGTGGACTTTCGTACCAAGCAATCACAGCCCATATACAGGGTAATGCCACAATAACTATTGGGTATAATTGTCGACCCCATCTAATGCAGACTGCGGAAACTTTAACAGTAATCGCTAAGGGAAGTTTTGGAGCCAGAGGTCCTCTCCGTTCTTCGACGTATTTCGGGCGCTGTATTTCAGCAGGATAATTTAGTACCACGTGTTTCTTCAGACTGCATAAACCTTATTAGGGCACAACAAGTTAACTTCTTCCATGGCCTGCTTATTCCCCGGGTATGTCGTCCATTGAGAATGTCTCGGATTTCATCGGTCGTCGACTTGCTCATACAGCTAGAGGGGGCACACACTAAGACTGAACTTTGGCATCAAGTCATATGGAATGCCATTCCCCGGGATCATATTCAGAGCCTGTATGAGTCAATTCCACGACGTGTATAGTCTCTCATCGCTCAAGGTGGCGGACACACAAACTATTGATTTCGGATGTTTATTTTGATTTTTTGTCTTGTAAATTTGATCTTTTATTTATACCACTATCAGTAATACATGGAATAAATTTCATTCATTCCCAAGAATTCCTTCATGGTGTTGCATTTTCATAAACATTAGTGTAATAAATGTGATTTTGACAGTATATTAAACTTGATGCTTCATTTGTAAATAAAAATCATTCTCATTAGAAAAATATTTTAAATTCAAAAGAATAATGAACTTTATCTTTCAATTTATGATTAAAAAATAATGCTCGAAAATGATAACGAAGTCTAGTTAGAAATAATGCGCAAATCTACAGAATATTTGGTTATTATTGGAATTAAATTAAAAATTTCGTATTATGTGTTAAAAAAGCAAACAAAGTTCCCTGGTAATTCGAAATTCTTTTCTGGAATGGTGGAATGGTTTCTTATTTTTTCCTGTATTTTTTCCTTAAAAACATTTCGTTAATTTCTATTTAAGACGATTTAACTGAAAGATATATTTTTTCTTCATGATATTTTCTGCCCCACCTTTCAGTACCCTTTGTTTGAACGTAAGAGGCAAAGTAATAGTTTAATTTTCTTTGTAATTTATAACCATTTTTAGTGACTTTCGTAAGGTACACGACTTTCGACTCATAAGTCCAATGTTGACGCATGAGCAGTAAAAATGTATACTAGTGTTATGGTGTTTTTGAAATTGAAATTTTACCAAAAGGTACCCTACTAATTGATTAACACCAATTAACTTAAAATTAAAAATAAAACTCATTGAGTAAAAATTGATGAGACTTATTTATTTATTATTTAGCAATTTATTTTTAGAAAATTCTAACCAGTTAGGGAGAAATAATTGAATAAAATAAAAGGTATACTTTAACAGAATAAACTCACAATTTCCCTTCATTCTGCAATATCAAACATTATATTGAATTCATACTGGTAAGCATAATCAGTTTCATTGTAAGAAAGAATAACATACCCTCCCCGGGGAGAAAAAAGAAATAATAATATTTAACAATTTACACTTTGCAAGAGCATTCCACACATAATAAGCATATATGACTTACTTACAAAAACAAAAGGTTACTAGTTTCTTATTGCACATTATGACCTTAGAGTTTTGAGATGAGAAAATAAACCGGAATGATACTAATTTCTAATTGCACATTATAAATTTTTGAGTTATGAGATGAGAAAATAAACCGGGTAAAATATTTAAAAATAAAATCAGGCTTTACAACTTAACAGACAACTTATTCCAACTGCGTAGTGATGAAACCCAATTAATTGCACCGGATATAAAAATCTTAACGATAAAAAAATTGTCTGCCTTAATTAAATTATTTAACTAATAATTTCATTTCCCTAGCCGTTCTAATCAAATTATCTATAACAAGAAAAAAATTTCTTAAGTACAGAAGAGATAAATCAACCATTAACTATTAAAAAAAAATATAAATCACTTATCTCTCTCTTCTAGGAGGCCTGGTTGGTAAGGTGGTTAAAGAGGAATTTCTTAATTTAAGTCACAAATAAAAATCCAGATGGATTGTAGAAAAGTTCTAAGGAAACTAATTCCTTGAAGGATAAGCGTGAAAAACTTTAAACTCAGATGGTTCGTAGAAAAGTTTTATGGAAGCTAATTTTTTTTTGAAAGTTGACGCGTCACCCGCATTGACCTCGGTTGAAGAAAATTATAGCTGGATGAATTCGGAAGCTAATTTCTTGAAAGTTGAAGCGTCACCAGCATTGACCTCGATTGAAGAAAATTTTAGTTGGATGAATTCGGAAGCTAATTTCTTGAAAGTTGAGGCGTCCCCAGCATTGACCTCGGTTGAAGAAAATTTTAGTTGGATGCATTCTTGACTCCATAGGACTGGAACTGGAGCATGCTATCTATAATTTTCAGCAATAGACATCCTTGAAGATGGCTCTGCGACAGGTCATCAGTTTTGACGAGTTTTTTTTTTTTTTGTTTTTGTCTGTAGATCACTGAGTGTTGGACATAAGCCGTTGTTAAGCTATTTCAAGCGAGTATTCACAGCCGATAGAACATTTTGGAAACTTACAGATGATAAACGCCGAGGAGAAAAAGAAATTTAATGCAGATGAAAATAGGGCAGATGAAATTAATCTGCTGTAGCCCTTTTCTTTCGCGGGCAAATGCCCTGTAGATGACGCTGGAGAAACTCCGCCATTTCTTCCTATTAGCCGGCTCTCAGAGCACGCGCCTCAGCTTAATTCACGCTCAAAAGTGTGACAAGCGAAAAAAATCAGAAGGTGTCAAAAGTGTCCTCGTCGTCCCCCAGGGCGCCGGACTGCCAAGTTGGCACCACTCACTCTTCGCCAAAAGTTAAAACAGTTGCAACTACAGCATATCCTCAATGTTAACAAACTCGCCAAATCCACCACTTTGAAACCCCAACGGAAATTCTAAGTCGCCAAGCCGCCGCCAAAATAACCCACGCCTCGTGGAAGGGGAAACTTGGAATTTCAACAACCCTGCAAGCAGTCCCAACGAAAGAACGCTGAAAACTCGAAAAAAGCTACAATTCTACCGGAAAGGGTATTTCTTCCCCCCACAAGAGAAATCACCATGAAAACGGGAAAAAAAATCTACTAATTAAAGCTCATAACTAAAATGCAATTAAAGTTAGGCAAACGAAAGTTAGGTCAAATTAAAAAGCTAATTTTTCTGCAACTAATGATATTAAATACTAAGAAATCAAATTAATTTTTGACATGAAAAACTGAGTTTATTACAAGAAAATTTCACCTAAATCCATTGTCTGATCGTACAAGATTGAAGACGCAGTTCGCGTAAACTCGGAAAGCCCAGATATATTACACTAGAATTAATAAGCCAAATAAAAGTATATAACCAAACTTGTTGTGTAGCTCAAATTTTGAATAATTACAAAATAAAATTTTGATTTTTATGAATCACCTAATTAAATTAAATTCGCTACACAACACTAGTACCCAAGTGAAAAGCGTACACAGAACATTTGCTTCCGATTAACTCACGTTAAAATGGATTTTTTTAATGTAGTCATATTAAAGAAATTCTTTGAATATAGTAATAGAATGACCGGTGCATTTCTGTTAATGGGGTGCCAGTCACCATACCATACTGCGCCGCCAAATATGCGCTCATGTAGTGTTATACATAGCTGCGTAATCTTCAGTCATGCTCACGAATGTAAAATGGATATACAATCAACAACTCAAAAAAAAAAAAAAAAAAAAAAAAAAAGTAATAACTTACCAAATCTCACCAAAACCACTGATACGGAATTTAAACTTTATCGCTTCCCGAATGTCGCCAAAAGTCACCCAATCCCGTGTGTACCGCATTCTAAGATTAAGCCTAAATACACTCATAAAATTCCACCTTGTTTAAATATACACTAGTACATCTAAAGCAATCTTAAATCTTGAATAAAGGCATTCCTTGAGATCAAAATTTCTGAAAGCTAACAAAGCTAACAATAGCTAACAAATTCTATGAGATATCAGTGAGTTATTATAATCTCTCGGTCTCATATCTAAGTACTTTTCTCAACTAAAGTATGGAAGTATGTAATCATAATTAAAAATTTATAAAGCCGTTTCATACATACCAGAATGCTTTCACGGTATCCTTCTTTCTTGACGTTAAAACAAGTTAGCTTACCGATGATAATCTAATTCACAGTTCGCTTCAACGTTTAGTACTGCATTATAAAGTGTCATTTTTAATTTGGTTGGCAAATATTTGTAACTTTTAAACTGGAATTAACATTGATGAACAGCTACGTTGAGAAAATATTGCATACATTCTATTTTATTTCATGTTTATGAAGTAAACCGAGTCATCAGCTTACACGTGCTTTTGATAACGAAAATTTAAACAATAATAATAACTTTTATTGCCAAACTTATGAATGAAAAATCGTTAATTTATTTAACCATCTTTGCCAGTGAGAAAATTTTCTTTATCACTTACAAAGAAATGCAGTCAAATAATTGTAACGAGAGGCTGGTAGATGAGGCGAGTTAAAATTAGAAGAATGAATTAAATTACAGCAAAGTCACTGCTATTTCAAAAAACCACAAACCGTTATTTTAAATGTTTATTTCATGAGAAGTAACAAATTTACAACAGTCAGTTTTGATATCAGCGATTAAAACGAAGAGAAATAGGAAAATATGTAAGTAACAAGCAGTCCACCCTTTATAATAATAACATTAATATGATTTTTTGAATATGAACATGAGGGATATCTGGCAAATGAAGCCTTCGTGCAAGACTTTTTAAGGGCATTTTCATTGTAATCATATCACAGATGTGGAAAACCACGAAATACAACCAAGTAGCCAGACCTTTAGTCTGGGAACAAACTGCTATTCAGCGGCCTTAACTACTCGGCCAGAGATGGTTCCCAGTAATAGTGATAAATTTTGCTAATAAAGCCATTCATAATGTAAGTAATAACAGTAGTGTTGACACACCCGGGAGTTTAAGGTGAACCGTAATCACTAAATTCTCCACCGAAACCGTTGATTTAAGCCTCACTTATAATGTTTCTCTGTTTCTCCCATTAACTCACGACACTGACTAGGTTTGGCCAACATTTCAGAATCAACTGCTGGCTAAACGCCAAGTTACCTAGATCAGGTGTCGGCCCCCTTTCTGTCAAAAAAGAATGCGGTATATATTTTAAAGTTATTCCGAGCGCATGAAAAAAATCTGATGTGTACACCACATGACTTCCTTGTACGGAATATTAAATTATACGCATTTTTTCTTGCATTTCGTTTAAACTTATTGGATTGAATTAAATCTACTTCGCCGACAGCGCATAAACCACAATAGAATAAATGCATTCTTTAAAATTCACTTTATTTGTTTACCATAGCGACATTCTGGTGCTAGGTTAACTTAAGAGTATTATATTTCGTTCATATTATAACTCAGAATGCACAAAATTTATATCGTATGAAGAATTGTCTAATCGTTGCCACATGTTCTATTCAAATGCTATAATAAAGCTAGAACGATGTATAAAAGAAATTAAGCAAACAAAACAAAAAAGAAACAGTTTTTCACTGACGATTGAGTATTTCTCATTCAATTAATTCAGTTCTCACTTCGCGACAAGGCAAAATTACATAAAAACTCAAAATATCTGTATTAAAAATTACGAAGTAAATCTTAAACACTTATTTCCTCGAAAAAATTCCAGAAAGGATTAAGCATGATTTAATTCGCAGTAATAAATGAAGGCTTTATTTTTGTTGTTGCGAAGCTACGTTTCTCTAAATTGGCAACAAATCCACTACTTTGCTGTTTCAAATGTAAATAAGCAATGGCCGGCATCAAAAAATTTATTAGGCTTAGCGGCACTTAAACAACTTAACAAACAAAAATTGTTGATAATTCTAAAAATATTGCATGCAGATTTACTAAAGGCATAAAAACCTTAACCGGAATGTAAGAACAACATAATTCAATCATTTTTAAAGCAAAAAATGTACAATTTACAAACATATAAGAGTAAAGAAACTGAAATCACTGAACCGTGTAACAGAGTGGCTATATAAATAAATATTTTTATATACGTTTGACGCCGTCGATTGCAACCAAAATACGAGGTGCACATCTACATGTTATAGCAGTCTTATATACAAAATTTCAACGTTCTGAGGCTACTCGTTTTTGAGTTATCCGACATACGTACGTACATACTTTCGTACAAACGCCACGAAAAATTCTCTCAGAATTCATTTTAAAGCAGTTTTTATAATTTTTTATAGGAAAAGAGTCTTTTTTCTGTCCTTACGTACAGATATCACGCAAAAACATCGTTAAATTGCATTCGAAAGCCTTCAAAATGGATATTTTCGTTGAAATATGCTGCTGAAACCTTTCGCGATTACAATACTTCCTTTTTACTTCGTAAAAGGAAGTAAAAAACGCTTCAAAGTCATAAGGTATTTTCTACCTCCTTTCTATATGCCTTCGGGGTGTAACGGTTAGCAAACTTGGCGCGTGTTCGAGAGGTCCAGGTTCGAGTCCCGGAGAGGGCACTGCTCATTTTTCACGTCTCCTGCTTCAAAATAATCTAATGACTCTACAAAGTACGAAATGTTTCCTTTCAAGAAGTATAATTAGATATACTTAAATTATAAATGCAAAATAAACTGTGACAAATACAAACATGACAACTACAAAGATTCGAATCTGTGTGACACCTGATATTGCAAATCTTTTGTTAATTTGTTATATGGGAGTACAAATTAGAATTACAGCCGCCCAGACTGTATAGTGGTTAGGGGAGCCTATTGCGGTAACGTCAGATTCAAATAAGAAAGTTGCTCTGCCCCACCCTACTGATTGCTCAAGACTTAATTGGATTTCGACTACAATCCATATGCGTACATTGGATACACATGTAAAATAGAAATATCTGGTTCTTTTACACAGTCAAACGTAAGAGAATTCATTCACTGATTATAGTTATGCACAGAATACACGTAATGCAATCACCTATAAGTATTTTAAAACAGATAATGGTTATCAAAGTATGGGCCCAAAAAGAACTTTTGTTCTCGAAAATTTTTCAAATACTAATTTGCTTATTGTATAGTAACTTTTTTTTACTTTCATTTAAGAATTTATTTAAAATTGCCAATTGATTGATAATAGCTATATGAGTTTATTATCATTAATTTAATTAATACATTATTTTTTCCAATGGATCTCCTTTTTTCTTCGTTTCTGTCAAAGCAACTTTATATCTGTGAATCATGACAAATCACAAATATGTGCATGTAGATAGCGAGGAATGTAAATGAGCGTTTTCAGTAATTTGGAAGAAGTCAGAATTTATAAAATTCCAGTCAGAATTTATAAAGTCAGATTCCCATACGAATCTATAAAGAACGGATCTAACTGACAATTACGCTGAAATCGTTTTCATGATTCTAAAAAGAGTTATTATTTTGAAGATATAATGGGTTTTAGAGAATTAAACGTCTGAAAATCATTAGCAAATTTTATTCTAAATTTAACTATGTGAAGAGATGTGAGTTATATTTATTTGGAAGAAAGATTAATCTTATATACTAAAATCGGATTGCTCGCTTGGGAAAAACAAACTTTAGTATGTGCCAATATATATGAGATTTAAATAATTTCAGTTCCAGTTGGAGATGATATTGCATTAATGCTGATGTTTACTTGTTTTTTGCAGCAACAGAGATTTTCCTGGGTTTTACTGCGGTGACATTGATTCTCCAAAGACATTCATCTCCGAAACCCCCCAAGTGAAAATCATCTTCCATGCAGACAGTTACGGACCAGATACATTCTTGCAGTTCGATGCGAATGTCGAAAAGCAAGGAGAGGTGCATGCCAGGTAAAGTTTCGTTTTTAATATATAAAGCTGTATATACATTTCTGGGTTTTTCTAAATATATATCTTATAGAAATGCGGTGTTTTTGAATTATACACCATATTTGCTGCAGATATGTTTGGTATTTAATATTATAATACCACATTACTTCCTTACAGTATCTTCCACCAGTATTTTAAAATTAGTTCATAAACGTGGCCTCGAAAAATAAAAGACAATATGATGCAATAAAATTTACAAACAAAGCAAAAAGCCGTGTACCAGAGCACATCGCTAGGGAAACCTTTGAAAACTATAATGTCAGCACTGGACTGAAACGGTCATGTCCTAAAAACTTTAATAAAGATATCAGAGCAGTTCTCGGCCACGATCACAGCAAATTTTCTACCTTCCAAGAGCCAACATTTCCTTCCAGGCCTTTTATGAACTCTAAAGTAGTAGTACTCAACCTACTACAGCGATGCAATAAAAATGAACTGATTGACATCACTAAACCGAAAAGGATCAAGACCATAGAACAATATCCAAAAGAAGACTTATACAGGTGGTCATCTGATGAGACAATCACTGATGGAGGTACTGGAGTATTTCAGACTATCCCACGCGATATTTCGTATCAATACAAAACTGGTACTGGAGCTATAGTCTCTAACTTCATTTCAGAGCTTCTGGCAATAGCGGAGACATTTGACATGTATCAATTTCTCAATTTCTGAGCAAGCAAAAGGACCCTTTGTCTTCTGTGACGAAAGGCAAGTCTGGATGGAAGCTCCCTGATTACCAGTGGGATCCACTTTCGCCAAAACGTTTGCAAAAGTTAGATAAGGTCTTCATTCTTGAATGGTTGCTAGTGCATGTCAACATCCCAAGTAACGAAAACGCAGATAAACTGGCAAAAGATGCTAGAAATGTAATATAATAATGTAAACATAACCCTCTCGGACACAAATGCCATGGCCAAATACAGGTTAAATGAACATTCAGTTCTAATAAAGCACCAGCTCTATAACATCAATGGAGATCGGCTTATAACTAAAATCATAGTCGGGCTTAGAACTGGACATCATAGAGGATTGGAAATTGACAGAAAATTGACAAGTAGGAAGACGTACAGAAAAGGTGATAACTACCCGGACACATAACTCCACACATTTTTGATTGTCCGGCTAACCTTGCTGATTTGTTTACACTTGAATAGGCTTTATCATAGACATGACAACAACAAGAATACCGATATCCCATTAGATATAAAATACTACAAATACAGCATTAGACGTGTTATACATATCCATTTGCATAGAAATATTTCCAGATTTCCAGACACCGGTATATATTCCAGAGAAGATATATGATTTTCTAGTTCATAAAGCCATGCATAAATTCTTTTTTTCCTAATTATCGAACGTCTTGAGCAATCGAAGCATTACAAAATTATACATAACACTTGCTCAAGGTAAATGTGATATATAATTATATACTACAACATTAAAAATATGTTATTACAACAGCGCTAGAAGTTACATAGTAATTATGTTATACCACTTTTACGTTAGCCGCCTTGAAATAATTTAACCGATGGCACAGCAACTCTGAATATAAGCATTCCCAGATTTGTAGTAAACTATTCCGTAATGTAAATATTTTACAAAATTTCAAGTCTGTTTTGAATTTAAATATTTTTGCGAATCTATTAGACAAGTTAGTAGCTTAATTTTGCTCTATTATTCTATTTACAAAGTTCAAAATTCAAGGGAAGTACGTGAAAAATCAACTGAAGCAGAATTAAAGAAAATTTAAGTTTTTCTTTAATCTACATACAAAGACTATGAAGATGTCAGAATAAATTACTGTCATAAAGATTTTGTAGTCTTATAATATACATTTGAGTAAAACGTGTCATATATGTCAAAAGTGTGCTAAGCATGTTGCGATATTTTATTTAAATTTTCGTAACAGGTTTAGTTACCTACTGCTCTGTTTCAAAGATAGGTGCAAATTTTATGATAATTAGCGAAGGTTAAAACAAGAGGCAAAATCCTAAACCTGAATGATATACTGAAAAATCTTGGCTGTTGATGCCGGTGCTGCTTGACTAAAGAAAAGACCCACTGAATATAATAGACGTGGACACCTGACATTGGCGTTGTTGGGTAAGTGCTCCAAGTTAATTTCCGTTAGTCTGTCCTACCCAGTCAGTGCTGCAGCTTTGTGCATATTTACTGGAGTGTGGGCAGTTAATACTGGTCGTTAGGTAGGAGATGCATGTAAGTTTGAAATTTGTTCAATATTATGCGTTCGAAAATTTTGCTCAAGGTGGGAAGGAAACTTATAGACCGATAGTTCTCTGTCTTGGTCAAGTCTTTTCTGGGATTTCGGGGAAAAAAAAAAAAAAAAAAAAACATTTTCACTGATTTGCAGTATTTTAGAAAATAGCATTGTACTACACAAGTATTAAAGATGCTAATTTACTATTTTGCAGTCGCGTTACGAGGCAAGTTTCGGATCATCAGGTTCGTCATTCTATCTGTCCTGGGAGCTTTTCTACTTTTGAGCCTCTTTATAATATTGATTACTTTATTAGGCGAGGTGAGACTGTTATCATGGAGTGCAGGTGGAGCTTGCATACATTCTCAGACTTCTTTTTCTACTTGACATGCCAAGATAGAGTTTACAGGCGTAATATTCGGTTGAAATTATCTTTCAATATATGTGTCAAAGACGTCAATCACACTTATCCTGGTCAGGGTCTAGTACATTTATACTTTTCTTATGCGTTTTCCCCTTTTATATTGTCATCAAGGGGAATACATTAGACATTAGCTGCCGGGCGGTTAACTCAGCTGTTGGGAGGTCGTCGGCTTGTGATATCATGCTGGAGAAGTGGATTCACGTCTGAGTTCCCGAAGGAACATGTCTGCTTATGCATTCATGTCTGCTTATGGGTAGAGGGGATATTTCTGAACTTGCGCCATCTTTTACAGAGGTTACCTTGGTTTCTGTTGGAACTATATTAAAGTGACCACACGTCCCGATTTTGGCGGGAAAGTCCCGCTTTTTGGAGGACTGTCCCGCGTCCAAATGTCCCGCTTTTTAGAAAACATCTGTATTTCTTATTTTAAATGTACTGTAAAAATATATTACCTATTATTTATTAATTATTATAGTAAATATAAATAAAAAATAAATAAAAAACACATAAAATGCATGCAGAGTAAACTAAATTAGGCGATGTAACGAGTTAGATTTACTCGGTAGTATTCACAGTCAAGGAATATGTATTGTTAACGGAGGAACAACAAGCATTAGCTGAAGGGCTATTTGCTTTACACACCACAAACCACAATGAAAGTTTCAGATCAATTGATCGTCAATTGATCAAAACATTGTACGACAAAACATTTGCATGTGCAAGAACAGAAACCGAAGCAATTATTTGTAATGTTTTTTTACTATATTCGTTTTCACAACCGCAGAAAGAATTAGATTTAAATGCACATTTATATCCGTATATTATGATGCTTCCAACCACAAATATTTAAAATTATTTCCCACAATAGTTAGACTTTTTGATCCAGAAAGAGGAATTAAAATTAGAATATTAGATTTTATTTCATTGCAGGGTGAAACTTAAAAAATAATTTTTGATTCAATAAGTACTATTAAAAATAATTTGAAAAATAAAATTATTGCCTGTTGTGAGGATAACAGTAACGAAAATTTTGGTGGAAAAGCTAGAAAGAGGCATCAATAACGTTTTCACGAAACTTAAAGAACATTTGAACCAAAAAATTATTGGAGTAGGTTGTGCAGCGCAAATTCTACACAATACTGTTCAAACAGCATAGTGGATCTTGAAAATATTATTGCAAAAATTTATTCCTATTTTTATATATATATACTTTGCGTGTTGAATGTTTGAAGGATTTATGAAAAAGCGCAGAAATCAAATATAAAAGAATTGGGTGACATTAAAAAAGAAGATTTTATGGGAATATGCGGAAAAAATCTTTTTAATATATTAGTAACCATTTTCCGAAAAATAATATTTGCGAAAAGATTTTTTGATAAGGTGTCATTGGTAAAAAGCTATTTACTGAAGAAAAAATTAATTTGTCTGCAATGGCAAACAGACAAAACATGGACGGAGTTATCCTGTTTAAACAGAAAAATATTCCTTTGAAATTGTAGAACACGCGCTCTCCCTTCCAGGAACAATGAGCAACAGGACGTTATTTTTTCTTTATCAATAAATATGGTGAAATCTGTATTAAGGGTAAATATAATTTGATCATTCATGTGAGAAATTCCATAACATTTTAATAAGTGATCCGAATCGATTGCACAAGTATTCACTCGGATAAAAAATAGACCGTAAAGAAATCATAATTTTTTAAATAAATTTAATTAATTAAAAAGCATAATATTCAAATTATCGTTTTTACAAATATTTTTATAGTTAACAATAGTTAATAATAAATATATTTTTGTATATTTACAGACAAGCATATGAATGCATACAGTAAAATGTATTCTTTTTTGAATTACTGGTCTGCTTTTATAACTAAATTACAATTCTCATTTCATTTCATTTGTCCCGATTTGTCTCAATGAAAATATGGTCACTTTAAACTAACTATATGCAAAACATGCGCGTAAAACACGATAAAATTCGCTGTTCTTTATAACGTGCATGTCTTAATAGTATTTAAAATGCTTCTGATGCTATGTACAAGTAATATGTGCTTTTATGCTCTCAGAGCCTAATTTTATTGCTATATTTATTTTATTATTTCAGATATGGTCAATTTCCGCATCTATATCCACACAGAAGAGGTGCGCCTGTACCCGGTTCATACTGTGATCGGACATTCCACGAATGCGCTCCAGGACGTTGCTTCGTCCAATCCCCTGGATTTCCCGGAATCTACCCGCGGAATCTCCACTGTAGATACCATGTAAGCGTCCGACAATTTTTGGTGGGCCTTGATTTGACGGCTTTTGATGTGGACGGACTCAGATGCGATAACCTCTTGCTCTGCTTTCCCAGGCCGATATCCAAAAATGCGGAAGACTGTCCTTATGATATCGTCAGAGTATACGACGGACCCTCAGACGATAGTCCCATCATTGTCAGTCTCTGTGGAAGAGGAAGGCTGAAATCGAACATAATTGGTATGGTAATAATACTACTTGAATTATTTGATTTTAAATGTCTGATATAATAATATTTTACCAACCATCATCTTTTGGCAAAGAAAGAGAGAAGAACCTGCAGAGCTGCTCAGGCGGTATAGAGGTTAGTAACGTTGACTGCCGTACCAATGTGTCCGGGCTCAAATTCCGGAGAAGGCATGGCTTTTTGTAAATGTGTAATGCCTGTGCGGCATGCATTGCTAGAAATATAGGGCCAGCCAAAAGTCCTCTAGAGTGATTTAGTGGTATGGGATGAGTGGTGAGAGACCCTCATACCCATCTCTGGAGATTCTCTTCTTCAAAATCGGGGCAAAACTGGGAAAAGTAGTAATGTCACCTATATGGTGCTCCAGGCTTATGACAACGACAGACGCAATCTTGCACTCCTTGCCACGATAATCTTCGCGAGATTGTTCTAATTATAGTACAGAGAAGTGAGATTAGCCGCAAAAACTCTGTAGATACTTTGAGAAAGGGATAATAAGACTTCTATCTTATGATATTATATATACACTTATTTATTTGTATTTTGGTTTATTATTTAAAGGTTGTAAATTTTAGATGAAATTCGGATATGATTTTCTTATGATTTCACATGAAAACTGTCGTCTATTTCAGTTCCTTTTAAGGGGTGTAGACGCTGAATTATACAAATAACTATAAATCAATTAATTAAAGCAAATTTTGCACCCAATTGAAAATTTATTGAAAAAAAGATTAAAAGCAGATAAAATTCAATCAAAAGATATCGCAATCAAAATATAGATTGCGATATGCATATTTGAACACAGTAGCGAGAACAGAGGAGAACTTATGCGAAAGAAAATGTTAACAACATTTTTAAATACAACCCTCATAATAAACTCTATATCTAGTTTAGCGTCTCAAACTTCTGCTGGAAACAAAGCTGTGGTCTAAATTCGTTATAAATATCCGTTTCTTAGGTTAAGTCATGAATGTTGCTATTATTTTTATTTCTTTTTTAAGGAAGAAAAAATATCAAAAATGCAAATTGCTGTGGAACATTTAATTTCATAGAAATCGATTAACAGATATACTTCTTTACAATAAATGTCTTGCGAACATTCATATTATTATCCTTGAATTTCCAGTGTCGCAAAGTAATGCGCATAAGATAACAAAAGCAAAAAAAAACTGAATAGCCGAAAGAGAATTAAAAGAAAAATAAACGGGAGAATATGTTGTAGAAATAACGCATACACATGCCCAAGCATATGACAATAATTTCCTGCGAATAGTTCAAGGTAAAAGTCGAAATGACATAGAAGGAAATTCTAATTTTACTTTGCAAATTTTCAAACATTGGGTAGACAAATTTCAGTTAAAAATTTCTATCTGAAAGTCCAAAGCTATCTACATTCCAAAGCAGGGAACAAAAATTAACTACCTACGAAATCCAATCATAAAAATATCACAAGAGAAAATAACAGTGGAAAAATAAATGCCTTAGTTAGGCATAATTTTGGATAAAAGGCTATCCTATCACCATCATATAATTTCAATTAAAAGTAAACTTCTAATATTGTTCAATTCGCTGAACATTACTACAGCCAGAACTTTCAGAAGTTTTTCAAAATTAAAAAAAATCTGGCATCATACAGTGACTGAGAAGATTCTCCTACATGGTGCTTCTGCTTGGGGTATGTCTCTAAATCAACAAGATCAAAGGCAATTACTTTCTTTACAACGTTTATTTTTCCTACCAATCTCTAAAGCTTACCTCACAACTCCAACAAATTCTTTACAAATTTCAGCAGGTCTTCCTCCAATAACCCCCACTTTAATGAAAGAAACGATTAAAACCAAAGTAACACGTCTGTGACAACCAAGTTCCTTCATTTCTACTGTCATCCCTCAGATTACGAGGAACTCAGAAAACATCAAGGCATATTTATTCCCAGAAAACTTGATTACAAACATACCGACTAACTTATTTCAATTACAAATATTCACAGATGGATCCAAAACAGAATTGGGTGTAGGTTGTGCCATTTGCGCTTTTTTCAATGGAAAGCAAATTAAAATGTGGAAAACAAAATTAAATAAATCAAATTCCATCTCCCAGGCAGAGCTATTGGCAATTTGAGAGGCAATTAAATTTTTCAAAAATGTTCTCTACAACTTGCATAATAATATCTGATAGTGCTTCGAGTCTTCAAGCTATAGTAGGGCAAAGTCACTTTCCATTAGTGAGAGATATTCAATATATGTTAACGCACTTTACAACAGGTACAAAACCAAAATTATATTGGACATGTGCCCTGTCAGCAATGAGATCGCTGATCAGCTAGCGGGAGAGGCGGCAAACAGCATTTTAACATCAAGTATTTTCTTGCCTAATTCAATTTCTGAAAGATCTACATTTTTGGACCTATTTTGGCCCTACAACAAACAATGCTCGTGAATGGTTCCAGCAGATTCTCAGGAATAAATGTATTGGCGAGAAGTTTCAGACTCTAATGAACCATCTTATTGTAAGCAGCGACAATCCCAAAGCAGTATAATTCTAATTTGTAAGGTATTAATGTTATTTATATAAAAACCGCTGAATAAACAGAAAAAAGCTAAAGTCTTTCAAACTAAACACCTGCTCATTTTGTAGTTTTCTGTGCTATATATTGCATGCTTCTGAGATTTTCTTTCCCATTTCTTCTTCCATATTTCTCGAAAATCTTTATTCACTCAGTTTCAGTCATTTGGTTTTAAATGAAGTTTTATTTCAATGAATTTTATTTTATTTTAATTTTAGCATATACATACGATGACATATATATATGTATATAAATACATATTTTTTACTGTACGTGCTGGTGCTTTTCCTGATTCTGACACATTTGTAGTACTATTTTAGCATTTTTACGTATTTTATTTTAATTTTAACATATACATACGATGGCATATATATATATAAATACATATTTTTTACTGTACGCGCTGGTGCTTTTCCTGATTCTGACACATTTGTAGTGCTATCTTAACATTTTATATCTTATGTTAGTTAAATTTGACTACTTAAGTACATTAAATTTCGAAGCATGTTATTAAAGATGCGTTACCTATTCGTAATTCTAAAATTCAAATTGAAAATTTGTGAGCATCAAATTTATTAATTAATTTAAAATGTTAAGAATGCAAAATAAACGGTATCATAAACATGGTTATATGGCTGAAAGTAATATATTTACTTACCGTTTTACTGCATCTGAGCTTAAGATAGAACAAACATTTCAAATTTACACAAAGACAAAATAGTATTTTTTAAACTTTCTTATTTAAGCCATTTTTATCCATTTTAGGCCTGATCAAAACGGGAATTCATTTTATATTTGTTTCTAAATTTGTAATAATTACTTGAAAGCCTTGACAGCATTTTGCAGTTCTAGGAAATTTAATGTCTTTATATAAGTAATTTAAACGCTCATTAAATGATTAGAGTGTAATTTTAGTGAGCAAGATTTTCCTTCTCTGACAGATTATTTTCAAAAACTTCCAAAGTTTCAAAAAGTCTAATTCTTGCAATTTGGAAAAAAATATGAAATGTGAAGGGTTGCCAGTTGCAGCTTTAGTCAAAGCGAATAATGTTTTGTTAAAAAAATGATTAGACAATTTGCTTGTGAAACTATTCAGGAGTGATACCAATTGACTTATAGTTTTAATTTCATATGAGGAATCTATTGCCGCATTTTTATGAGAAATTTAAAGCTATTTTCTTGAAAAAGAAGAAAACTGATTTGCTTAATATACCTTTCAAGTCCTATTTTCAGTTATTTCACCTATGAATTTGTTATTTTGTTAACATTTGGAAGGCTAATTTATCTTTGTTCCTTTCAGCTTCTGGACCAGACATCTTGGTGGAATTTGTGACGTCTAACGCTGGACCTTTATTAAATACAGGATTTCACTTCAAAGCTGATAGTATCATTGATCCTGACACTTCAGAACCACTTCAACTGCGCAATAACAGTTGTTTCGTGGAGAGATATCTACCAGAGAATAAAGAAATAACTTTCTCCAATCTTCGATCATGGTATCCTCCGAACACAACTTGCGCTTATCGTTTTTATACTACGCCAGAGGATGTCATACGACTGGACTTTTTGCTATTCAGGATTGAAAGATTTACCATGTGTGAGGAATCTCTGAAACTTTATGACGCTCCAGAACCCAATCCTACAAAAATTATCACAAAGCTTTGTGATATGAATAAAGCTCAAGCTGTTTACGAATCTACAGGACATTATCTGTATGTAGAATTCGTAAGTTCCAGAGGATCTCTCGATGGATCTTCAATAAGTTATGAATTTCAAGTGAAATCTGTTGGAGCTTCTTCTCTTGAAAGTGGTCATGCCTGTAGCAGAGTCTTAGATCATGATGGACATTTAACATTACCTTTACATGAACTTAATGCTACCAACCAACCAGTTACTTGTAACTATACTCTTGATGCGAGCTCCTTATTGCACGGAAGAATAAATCTTACATTAGAAGTTCCCTTTGAAAAAATGACAAAAGTTTGCACAGAATGTAAAACAGAATCAATTGTTTTAGAAGTTTTTGGAGCAACATTAGATGACACGCCCTTATGTCTATGTCATATCACTCGTAGACGGAGTGTAACAATTACGTCGATGTCATCAATTATGGTTATTATGCTGAGATCTAGTCCCGTAACAGTTGATACAAAGAACTTGATTTTAGCCCCACCTAGCAACCTGAAATCATCTAATAATAAAGACATAACTGGAAATTTCATTTTCTTTAGTGATGTACGATGCGGACCAGAAATTCTTAAACTAGATTTACAAGGTTTTATAACATTTCCATCATTTCAAGAGAATGCCTTACCAGGACCAGTGCATTGTCTTTGGCAGGTTCCACTGTTACCTGGAATGGATGCGGGCTTCAGGCTGGAAAATTTTCTTGGAAACAACTGCAGCTCGGACTATCTCAAAGTAAATCATGTCCTTTTATGCCCAACACTCATAGAACATTCTTTTGTGGTACAGCGAGAAGACATCAAAAGTTCAAATGTAGTCTTGGATCTAAGAGCTAGTGAAGCCTCTGAAATTAATTTTACTTTATGGTGGACCCAACTTCGAGTTCTACCATCGACATCATCTGATTATTCTCTAATGTCTCTGGGGAAAGAATGCGAGTTCTTATGCGCAGCTTCCATGACTTGTATCCGCAAGGAACTCGTATGCAATGGCGTGCCCAATTGTCCCAGAGCTAAGGATGCTCCAGTGAGGAGATATTCTCCTGACGAAGAACCCTCGATGTGTCTTTCTGGAAGGCACAATCTTCATCTCCACTGGTGGGTGATAGGTTTTGGACTTGTCATAAGCGTTTGCATTTTAATGGGACTTATTTATTCTGTCTGCAGAAGGTGCCAAAATCACAGACAAAGGTTTTAATATTGTTATTTCATTCTGATGTTCTTACATTTTCTTCGAAATTTAAAAGGGTGCTTAACATGTAGAATAAAAGTCTTTTTAAACATTTAGTATTTGTATCATATTAAACAAATTTCTTAAATTAAAGTAAAAATGTAAAAGGAATTCGGACATGTATTCATGATGTACTCAATTTTTGTGAATATGTATTTGAAATGTTATTAAAGTACGTTTTTCTAAAATTTTGAAAAATCTTAACTTTAGCTGATCATTTATATATTAAGCATCCGTGCTATATAAAGACGAAAACATGGTACTTAAACATAAACTACTTTTTTCATAGTTTATTATTAATGACATATATGACTATATTATGCGCGGAACATAATCATATAGCTATCGTAATAGAATAATAATTTTCATTCATCATATTATTGATTAGTTTCATTTAGAAAAATATTACTTCGACAAAAAAATATATGTTAAGTAAGTTGTGATATTTAACCAAAAGAATGCAGAATTGAAAAGAAATTAAACCAGTTAAAAAATTTGAGAATAGTAGGAATATTCAAAGTACAAATTCGTAAAAGTTTAAATGGAAGAATACTGTTGCTATAAATGTGGTTACAATTTTTATTTGATTTAAATATTTTAGGAAAACAAAACAACTGATTAAAATGATGCGCTAAGCATCAAAATAATTGTAAAACAATTTTCTGAAGTTTATCTCGAAGAAACTTTTAATGTTTATGTGAATAACTAAAGAAACTGATACTTTCCTTCATCAAGAATTTATTTTTTTTCTTTCTTGAAGAAAGTTATACAGATCTTTCTACATTCATATTACAAGATCAGAACGTTCTTGTTCCTAAATGTTAAGTTGTACAGAACTAATTTTTTCCCTAATACTAAACTCTCTTAATTACAGAAAGAGATCTTGTATTTAAAATAACTAATTTTGTTAACAACGAAACCTAAAATAATATAGTGTTATTAGAAAATGGAAAATAAGTTATAACTCATAGATTTATTCACATGTCAAATTTTCCTACAGCGCGAGTTCACTGTAAAACGCCGAGCACTAGTAATCCTACCTTGGTTCAAACCGCAGTCAACGGGTTTTCTGTATGAGAAATTTCGTGGATTTCCTCATGTGTAACGAAATACAATCTAAATTTTCTTAAAATGCCCTCCACGAATGTATCCTTTCAATTAGGCATATAGCTCTAATGTACCTTCCGGTAATTCAATTCAACATTGCTATATTCTAATAGCCACGACCGGTGTGAATAAAAAAGTTAAAATTTTTTCAATAAATGCTTCCATAATTAGAGTATTTTGTCAGTATAAATAATAATAAATATTAGGTTTTGCATTTACAGCTAAGAACGATCCCCAGAATGTTTTAATTTAGCATTGGTTTACATGTGCAAATGTGTTTCAAAATATATTTCTTCATCCTTTAATTGAACCGTGTAATCAATGCTTTGCAATTTTTGAAAAATGAAGTTTTTACTCAAGAGAAAAGACGAGAAAAAATGAAGTAGTGTGAATGAAATTAATTTGAGAACTACTTCTTAAATTAAGTCAGTAAAGGTGTATTATTTTATGAGACACATCGAAGAACCTCAAAGGTTTTACTGTTTTTAGTTCGCATATTTCTTTTCCTCACAAAATAGTGAGTATTCCCACTTGAGGTGTATATTTGTCGCAAGTCTCGTGCGCGGAAATTCGAGTGAAACAGAAGCATAGCTTCGTGTTGAAAACTTATCTTTTTTTAATTAAATATGAACACAAGCCTTCACATGCATTAAGTTACAATAAAACAGTGTCATAGTAATCGATTTTCTGTGTTTCAATTCTGCAGTTTTAAACAGCTCATTTTAATTATATTATAAAATTTTAAATTTTATATCTTTATTTCGTATCTCTTTCACTGTTGTAATTTACAGATTATTAATTTATCTTAATTTTCGTTTAATCTAAAAATAAATCCTTTTTGTTTCTAACCCAAAAGGGCTACTCGTCTCGAGACAAGATTTTGCGTTATTTCATTTTAATGCGTAGTTTCACTTTGCATTCGAATCTGTTACCATTCGGAAAAACGTAAGACATTATTCTTCAATATTTTATCTATCTGTTATTAATTAACAAACTAAACTATTTAAGAGCAATACATGCAATTCTTAAGAGTATTATTTTTTACCTTGTAATCTGATCGATTTAAATAAATATACATTTCATTCATGATATATCTAATTTAAAACATTAAATATTTTTACAGAATTACATTACATGTTTTTTGACTTTTTAAATTTACAGAAAATTTAAAACATTCCCATGTTAGTTAAATGCATATTCATCTAGCATGTTATAAAATGGTTCTCCCTATTTTACCTAGGCGGTCTCTAACTGTAATCTCTGCTGATAAACAAGATTAAACTTTAAATTTCCCCTTTAAGCCCTTTTGGGGGAATCGTTGAAATCTGAAGACTCTAAGATTTTAATTCTTTTTAACCTAGTTTATGTTTATGTGTGTGTTCTGCTGAGTTGAAAAAATAGTCGTGTTTCAACTAAAAAACAAGAAATATAGTAACGAAACTTATAAACTTCCTTTACTATAATAAGACAAAAAGACTCCAAATGTTAAGACTATTTATTAATATATTTGTTCATTTGCCCACATTTATAAATATCTATTACATTATACATACTGATAAAGCTCAAACTGATAACAAATAGTCTAATTTAAATTCTTAACCTGTCTGTGAAATAATTTAATGTTGTAACAGCTTATATATTTCTATACATTAAATAATATATTTACTCGTAATTTTAAGAAAACACGTTTTACTTTGATTTATAGTAACTACAGTATTAATAAATTCTGTAGCCTTTCTTAACATCATAAGGATCTTAATCGAGGTAATATGATGTTTTTCGTAATGTACAAATATGTCAAAAGTTTCATTAGCAGATGAGCATTTAATAATATTGTGCTTCCTATCCACATGGCATAAAATATTAACTTTACGTTTCAAAATGTAATACTATATTGCTGATTAGTACATCAAAACGAACTAGATTAAAAGCAGCATAGAAGTGTCCCAAAATAATTGATACATTTCCAAAGATTACTTGCAAGAGAACGACTAAATATATGCATGCGTAACTTGATAAATACAGAGAGAAAAGTCATTCAGTTTTTTTCTACTTATTCTGAACGAAAAACGAAGTCTATATCGCTTCTTTAGAAAAGAGGTATTAAAAATTCTGATCATAAGGTGTATTCGATATAACGGAGACACATTGCATGTGAAAGGAATTTAAAATTATTTAAAATTATGTCTGTCAATAAATGCAGTATATGAAATATGATATATTTCTGCACATCTCTTCTTTCTTGTGAACAATATGATGTTTATGAATATTATAATCATACACGACATTATAATTATACTTGACATACATCCATGTTAATTACATGTTACTAAGTGCAATGCTGCATAATCGCAACAAGATAAACGGGGAATTTTCGAATGAAAGAAATCATAGTAATGGCCGTGTTCTGAAATCAGCATGTTTTAAATAACTGAATAGACATTATAGGATAAAGGGGAAAGAAGGTACATATAATCTCAGGAATGAATCATAATGTCTTATAGAAAAATCATAAAAGATAACCGAAAGTTATCCGTAGCATGTGAGAAATATCTGTTTGTATTAAGCTTTATTCTTTCATTTAAATATGATCTAATTTCAACTAACCTATTTACTCTAACTTAATTTCAACTAACCTTTTTGAGTAGTCGCACATTAACTAAAATTAATGCGTAGAAGAAAGCATAGTGTGTTGAAATCAATTCAGAAATCAGTTCAGCAAACATTTAGAATTCCTCCATCAAGAACATTTATAGAAATTTGTTGGAGATAGTAAAGCGATGTGAAACATCATCTAACTAGATCCCCAGTCATATTTATTTTTATTATCTTTAGGAATTCGTCAAATATCTCTTGTAGGGTACGCGTTCAATTTGCATTGTCGTTATGAAGGCAAAAATTGCGGATGCTTATTGAAGGAAAATGTGTATGTGCAGGAATTTACAGTAAACATTTGCTGTTGTTATTGGATACTGTGAGAATTGCTAATGATGTATGTGTGTGTATATATATATAAGCAAAATGTACTTCAGAGAACGCAGCTTATAAATAAATCTGCTTATGTAAAGCTTGTTCTTGTATCCTTGTAAATCTTGCCAATATTTGACATTGTACAAGCAATTCTCGGGCATTCTGTATATTGAACTATATAAAGAAAAACAGAGCTGTAGAAAGAGATTAGGAATAAAATAAATATATGATAAAGTAACATACAACTACTTCAAAGTTAGCCTTAGGCTTCTGAAGACATTTCCGTAATGATAAGTTTAAATCTATGTTAATTACGAGTATTTTGAGGGATACAAATTTTGGAAGACAAAATGGCATTATTCAATGTCCTTGTAGTGATTTATTAAAGTTAAAAAACAGACGTCTTCAATCATCCGCTGGAGACCATGCTGTCCCAGTCAAGTTCCCATTCATTTTTCAATCGTTCTCTCTGAAAAAAAAATAATAAAATAGAACCGATATAAATATGTCCTTAGAGTACTAAATTTTAATAAGATGAATGGAGTAAGAAATATGTCTAGGAGACTGATAAGTATTGAATATTTATTTCATAAATGCAATGGTGCGTATATTTGTTGAGATTAAATAAATCATGTTATGAACGAAAGTCATTTTTGACTAATGTATAAACATTTTCATGAAGAGAAGATAAATGATCTAATCATTAGACTTTCAGGTCCATATAGTGTTGAAATGATTATGACCATCAGATACTTAAACAGTTGTGTTACTTTAGAATATGAACTCTCTTTATATTAACTTAATCATAAAGTTTAGATATTATTGATACAAGATCAGCTGTTCGGCCCACCAGCGGCCGAACGATAAAGTCGCTGAAAACTGGTAGTTCGGTCCTACATGGGCGTTGCGTGTTTTTCCCCATTTGTAACATGTATATGAGCTAACTTTCCTTAGAAAGTGTTTAGTGTGATTTTATGAGACATTTGTAAGTTTCAATCTTATGGTGCAGCAAAAAACATCTTTGGAGCATCGGAATATGTGTAATATTTAATACCATCGTGTCTCAACAACAAATTTCTTCATAACTCTCTTATGCGTGTAGTACTATCTTCGTAAAAATATTTTTATATTTTAAACTTGAGTTCACCAAGTGTTTAGAATTTTCAACAAAGAAAAAGAGCTGAATGCGTAAATAAATATTCCAGTTAGAATTATACATAAATCGAAAAACTGAATGTGAAAAATATCAGATTTTAGAGTCTTAAAAAATCCTTCTAGCATTAGAATAGTAAATTAAATAGCTCTCAAACCGAGAGAGGTGTCCAAAGTATTTCTGAAAAGCTCAAATCATAATTAAATCGCCTTACTTCCTACTTCCGCATTTACAGTGTTTACGTTTCAAATTAGTTTCATAATATCGAGCTGAGATTACATGGACACTGGCTTTTTGGTTTAGATATATGGTATTTATATATATGATCACTTTTGCGTATAAATTTGTATTATTTGCACCGTTTGGTTTTCCACTGTTAGACACAGCAGCATAATTTATGTTTTTATTTAATAAATGTGTATTTTACATCCAAGGAGTTAGAATATAAATCTTTTATATATTAATTATGAAAAAGTATATAAGACGCAGTGCCTGGCGATTCTGCAATATAAAATTTACTGAAGCTTGTTTCGCTCTTCTGTACTAGCTTATTGTACTTTTTGAAATATTACATTTAGAATTCTCATATTCTGGTTTTATAAATAAATAAATTTTTGTCTCATTATTTCATGTATAAAAGAGTAATTTGAAAAAAGCATATTTCATTGAAGCTTTATTTGGCATATCGTAATTTTGAAACTAATTTCCCTTAAATTTAAATCGGGCTTTATGTAGCTAGGTGCTGCTTTCAGCCCAAAAATAACATATATACATCTGAGTATAATTTGATATTTTATTTACAATATGTTAGATCTTTTTCTAAAGAAAAATATCACTATAGATAACAAATTAAAAAAAAGGTGCAAACTAACTATTCTACATAGAAATCCATTTACTTCTTTTTCCAATACAAGTGATATTAGAACGAACAGTGATGCTGGGAAGTCAACGATAAAGTTTTTGTCAAAAATACCCTTAGGTCCTAGCCAAGAAAAGTATCAAAATTCGTAATGAACCTAAGACTACAGTCTGTCATTTTATTCAACTTCCTCTTTGTATTTTCTTTTAAGGAAATGTTGTTAATAATCCTTACAATCTGAAATTCAGCCAGATCAGATCCACGAATCGTGATTCGTGACTAGAAGGTACGGGATAGCATCTTCAGTTGACCAAGACCTTGGACATCTCATAAGTGACAGTACGAGGTTGCCCAACTCCATCCTAGTTTAAGATGAACAGTATGTCGGTGGGGAGAACCGAGAGTCTGTTACCTTTCTCCCCTAATCTTAACCTCTCAAAATAGCTTTCTGGACAATAGCATTTTAAACTATCAAGGCAGTATACACTTACAAACATCTGTACCTTTTCCGGATTGGAACCTGGGCCCAAGTCTACGAGAGCCAACTGCCCTCCCACCATGTCATTAATGCTGTTTAAAGTAAATTATAAACCTATAATGTAAACTAATCCACTGTCCAGTGTAAGAGATAAGGTTGTTTTACCTCCGTAACCTAATTAATGATGTACATTTTATATTTGATATAGTAAATGTACATTTTATATTTGATATTATAAAGTGTAATACAATATATTAGCGTAGATTGGATCTACGCTAACATACGCAGTTCATTATTTCTAACCAAGAAAGTCTATCTTTGGAGTAACAAAAAGATGCGTGTTTCATTTAAAGCAACGTATCCATTAAATCCGGGTGCTTACCCCCAAGGTGGTTAAAAATAAACACCCCTACTCTGAGCTCTCTATACATCGAACTACTGAGTGTAAAGGCCCCAAAATTATTGAACATTCTATTCAAGACATGGGGAAACGGATTACGTGAAAAACAAATTAGTTCCAGAGACACCGATAGGCGGTGCTGTGCAACGAGAAATATGCTGAAAAGGCACAAATAATCACAAAAATAGACATGAGATATGGTAATATTCCTTTTTAATTTCTATTGCTGATATGAAAAAAAAAAAGAACACAAAAAGTTAAAAAACTTAAACTGTCATTGTAACTGCAATTTCGTTCTCTGGCCCTCTCGTTCTCCAGATCTTAATCCATGTGATTTTTGGCTGTGGTGTTACTTAAAAAATCTTGTTCATCGACGAACTCTAGTAACTTTTGCAGATTTGAAAGATAGTACCACTCTGCATGTGAGAAACATCTCAAACGACCAATTACGATCCGCAGTTGAATAAGCTGTCCACAGACTGCAGATTTTACATCTTGAAGAAGGAAACCATATTCAGCAGCTTCCCTTGCATCGATAAAGTCTTTGTGATATGAAATGTTCGGTACGTTAGAATTAAATGTGTTATAAAGTGTATTTTGTGTCTTTTAAGCATATGTTCTGTTGTACAGCGCCGCCAATCCGTGTTTCTGGAACTGATTTTTTTTTTCACGTAATCCATTTCCCCATGTTTTGAATAGTATGTTTAACAATTCTGGAGCCTTTACACTCAGTAGTTCGATGTATTGAGAGCTCAGAGCAGGTTTATTTTAATATTAACCACCTTATATAACGGGTGGCCCAAAATAAACTGAGCCCCAAGCAAGTGAAGTCTTCCATGTCCGGTTTGGATATTTTCGGGCCGCCCTGTGTAATTTACTTTTAATATTCCTTTCATAACTGTTTGAAATTTTAATTGAAGATCATAAACCTATATGAAATCGAATTTTTCATTAAAACTGAGTACTTCAAAAATCACTAAACATACGCAACGAAGTATTAAATTGAGTTCGAGTAAATGAGTTCAAAAAGTTATAAACATTTATAATTAATTAACTCTGACATTTTATGTGCTTGAACTTACCACAGAAGTCGGTGGTCTGGGCGTACGTGTTATTTCATCGTCTGTGGGAGGACGATAAACAACAGATTCTGGAGGGTCGAACATTCTAGGTTCTGGTCCTGGTCCAAGCCACTGTCCAGTGTTATAGCAATACTTCCCCATCATGAGTTTATTTCGAGCAGATCCCCTCATGAACAGGGCTTCTTGGAAGGGGATTTCACGGTAAGATGGCATTTTGCTACGTGCCTGAGTATGAAGAGTAGAATAATTACTTTATTGAAGGATTAGAAAAGAAAATATTAATACAGTTAATTGCAATTAAAGACAATGTTCTGGAACTCCTTGTCTGCGTATATAAACTGGTTAGTATTTGCATTATCCAGAGTTTTAGTAATGAATTATCTACTTTTAAATGACTAGGTTGCTTTAAGTTTACAAGTCCAGAATGATTAATAATGCATTTAACAAAAATACTTCCAAATTTTATCTCTCAATTTATAATTTATGTACTGCATATGACTTACTATCGTAACATGAGCAGTTTTAAAGTGATATTCGTAATTATGCTTTGATTTTTTGTGTTATGATCAAGAGTTGTCATTTGTCACTTACTTCGCGATAGTAAATGCGCATTTTGAATTCACACAGAATGTCAGAAATGTTGATTTCAAACATCATCTTGAAGATGGCTATCGTTTTGCCAATGTATCGTTTTGAACCTCGCAATGAGAAGTCATTAGATATTTAATTACAGAACTTACGCATATTTACTTTGCTTAAAGCATCATTAAATCACTCTGTTTTTGTACGCTAGAAAATGTAATAATTTGAATAGGAAGAAAATATTTTGAGCAACTCCATATCTGGAAGAAACTCTTGAATCTCATCCGCCTGTTTTACGAGAATGTAAGTATGAAGCTAAATTAATTGGCCTTTCAAATTTGACATCTCAATTGCTTATAGGTAAGCTAATTTTTAAATGGGTTTTAAGGTTTTTGAGGCTGCTAAAAGTTGATTTCGATTGAATATTTAAATAGCTTTGAGTATATAGTTCACTCCCAGAATGAATTCATCAAATGTTTCCTTACTACTTAGTTCTAAAAAGTCAGATCTTTCTGCAGAAAGTTTGAAAAATCTTTTAATGCAATATTTTTTGTATCATTATTTATCTTCACAACATTTTAATGGAGAAGTATTAGGTTTATCGCGAAGCAAGAAATACTAAAACTCAGCGATGCTCTCATACAGATTCGAATGCCTGACCTCCCGATGGCTAGCCAGATATACTTCCAATTATACTATGAGGGCACATGGATGAGAAAGATGAAAATTCCTTAAAAATCTATCTACGTTTTAAACTGACTCTGTCACATTTAGTTTCCTAAAATATCGTTGGAGGCTTTCATATAAGTAATTATAGCAATTTAAAATAGATTATAAATGTTAGAAGTATTTCCCAATTACTTTCGAGCTCCAGATACTAAGTTTAACTTTTATAACCTTTATAATGCAGCGATTTTGTGCCTTAATCAGAAAACCGCAATGAAAAGTTTTGTTTAGCAGCACCATATGAAGCGATAAGTAACGTATGATGCACATAGAAGAAAACATATACACTCTTTTGCAAAAAAATCGAAGCCCCATGAAGGAAGTGGTTGTCTTTGATGAAATTGAATATGTGTATAGCTCAAACACAGATAATAAAATAATTAAAAATTAAGGTCATAGTATCTGTTCACGACTCACAGTCACCCACTGAGTGTTCGAATTAGTAGTTGGTCGAAGCGTCCCTGGCGGTAATGTATGCTTAAATTCGTCGAGGCAAGGAGTGGTAGAGGTTCCTAATGTCATTCTGCGACGCATTCTGACGACGCATTCCTTCATTCATTAGTTGTCGCTCCAGATCTCCGATATTTTGTGGTGCTCGAATCTGGCGGCCTACCATGTCCCAGACATGATCGATTGGTGAAAGTTCTGGTGACCTTGCTGGCCAAGGAAGAGTATCAACCTCACGGATACAGTCCAGAGATATGCGAGTGGTATGTGGCCTGGCATTATCTTGTTAGAAAATGGCCCCAGGATGACGTGCCATGAAGGGTAATGCAACCAGCAGCAGGATGGTATCAACATATCGTTGAGCTGTCAAAGATGTACGGAGGATGACTAAAGATGACCTGCTGTCATACGAAATAGAGCCCCAAACCATCACACCAGGAGTTATGGCTGTATGCCTTTGTAAAACAAAGACTGATTACGACCGCTGGCCCTGTCTTCTCCAGATACGAACACGGGGAGTCATCTGCTTCAAGAGTGAAGCGGGACTGATCGCTGAACACTATATGATGCCACTCTGGAGGCAGCCATGATGATCGGCTGCTACACCATTCCAGACGATTCCGCCGATGTTGTGGGATCAAAGCCAAACGTCTTAAGGCCTCTGTGAGCGTAACCCCGCCTTAGACAAGCGCCGTGAGATGGTGGACGGTACCACGGGAGGTATAGACGTGACTGTAGTGCGTTGAATAGTCGACAATGATACCGTTGGGGCGATTCGGGCCTGGCGAACAATCATCCTATCTTGCCTCGCGTTTGTGATCTTTGTCCTTCCAGAGCCTTCATTACGTCGGCAATTTCCTTGTAGCAACTATTTCTGCCAACATCTTTGCACAGCAGTGTCTGTACGGTGGGTACGGTGGCGGCCTATTGCTTGGTATGACCACCCCACGTTCGAAGTCATTTAGTTGTCTATAAGGTCTTCGATATTGTCGTAATGGCATCTTTAGTTGCTTCTTTACGGAGTTACAATGGTAGCAACAAAAGAGATAAAATTTCCGCCTCTGCTACTGGTTTTATGCTTTGTGAATTGCGAACTAGAAATGCGCGCTATCATCGCAATTTCTGTTCATTTGCCTTGAAACTTTGATCCTCTTTGGTCAAAATGCTTTTGCATGTTCGATCAAAATGTTTTTGCATACCAAATTTCGTCACGATTGGAAAAGTCCTTCTTGGTGTTTCGATGTTTTTGCAAAAGAATGTACAGACCTAGCAATAATCTTTCACAAAAAAGCTTAGCTGCTCAGAAGCTAAGAATAGAAAAAGATATATGTAACTACATTTTGCAGTGTCCAATGATGCTTCCAAAAGACTCTAGCGCAGAACGACAAATATTTCTTCACAAAACAAACTCCCTTCCACGTTATTAAACGGAGGAGAATTTTGTCATAATTAAATAAGCAAATCTTTTCTCTCGGTAATAACGGTGATTAGCACAAAAAATAGTCTGGACGTGATGAACACAGAAGTGGACAAATAAAAATACTTTTTAACATTAAATTATCACTGAAGAACTGAAAGCCCTCCTTGACCAGAAACAGAAGCAAGCAGATACAAATTTATTCCAGTGAGAAAAAGTGAAAACATAGCGTCCAGATAAATTACATCCCTCAATGATTTTTGAAAAATCGGAATTTAGACATTAAGGGAGAGAAGAGTTGCAGCATTCTAATAAGCTGAGAACACCAGGGGTAGCTAATTTGTTCAATGACAATGGCAGGTATTGATTCAGGGAACATTTGCTTTAGAGAAAAACATCTGCTTTACACTCCACCTCGAAACCTGGATCTCTTGAAAGACTGTAAGCCTCCGCACACATCTATTATACATAAACACTTTTACAGTTTATAGATTAGTTAATTCCTAGCATTTTTAGCATCAGTGGTGTTTTGAATATTTTATGCATTTTTTAGAGCTATTTCCTGATTCTGGACCAGCCTCAGAAACGTATTATAATTACTTCTATATTTGCATGGTATAGATCGCAGAACAATAAGCTCCTTATGCGAGGCACTACTGTATCTGATAAAAATACCATTTAAAATTTCACACCTACTGCTGTTCAATAATTCAAAGCTACATAAAAGATAAAATGGGCATTGTAAAATAAGCTTTAGTTATTACTAAATGCATATCCAATTTTAAAGAACGTGGAAAGATTTGTTTTTCTTAGGACGGTGGAAAGACGAGTAGGGTCAAGATGGGTCTCGTATGAAACTTACCTCTTCAAAAGGACTCAAACGTCTGCTATTAAAACTTGCTTTCCTCTTGATAACGATAGCTGCAATGGCCACCATGATTATAGTGAGGATAAAAGCGCCTATAATCACGCCAAGTATCAGAGTGGTATGTTCCATTTCATTGGCTAGAAAGTGAAATATGAGATATAAGTATGTACTTATAATTAGAGATTAAGTATGTACTTATGATGCTTATAATATCATAAATGCAATTATAGGAAATTCAATATATAAACTAAATAAATTTGTCAGAGTTGAACTGTCGTTTATCCTTCGGTCAGAATTACGAAGCCTGCTACCCTACGGTTATAATTACGGTGGATATCGGACAGCAAATTCTATAAATTGCGAAATCTACCCTTGTCACATGTCTACATATCAGCTAACTACACATGCAGTAATTAAGGAGAATTATTGCTTAACAGAACTATAGTAGTTTAACTTAAATCATATGATGAACCATAAGAAAGTAAATTTTACTGGAAATTTTATTCTCAATTAGGGTTTTAATTGCATTTTACCAAATTTGCACAAAGTAAAATATAATTACAATTAAAGCTGTGTGAATAACATACAGAAGTTTATTTCTGACTAGTGCCAAAGATTATAAAAATATAAATCTGAATGCAACTAAAGCTCTGCAGTGCATAGATTAACAGTCGTCTGAAAGCAAATATCAGTAAATATACCCAACATTATTCAATTCTATCCTTAATCCCTTACGAAGAGCTCACGATTCTCGTAAATTTAAAATAGCTTAAACGTCCTCGAATATCTTAAGCTGCAGTTTCTGTAGCTCATTCGTGAACAGGTAGAACTTCCGAATAGAGAGGTAATAGGCAGATCACCATAGATCATGAAAACGAATGGTAAGTAAATGCAAGAACAGACGCTCAATCAAAGATTATATGCTCCTGCCTAACAAGTTATTTTCCTTCTTCTGTTGTCGATTAATTTACACCTTTCTAAAGAGAGTGTGTGCTTGTTCAAACCCGAAAGTCTGTTATCACGGAATAACAACACATAACTCTCGGTTAACGGGGAGTTGATCAGCCGGGATGGGGGTTAGCTAAAAAATGGTAATTTTATTTATTGCAAAACGATGTGCAAATACTGTTCTTTAATTCTATTTTAATTCAGTTTCTTTATTTTTAGTTACTTAGAGTGCATTCTTTTTATTTTGAAAACTGATTTAATTTACGTAACCAAATGAACTTATTCTCAATTTTTTTTTCCAATGGCAGATTGCGAATGGTTACAGTGTAACACAGCCCATTAATCTATACAGGCCAGATGTGTTGGTCTTTTTATTATGAAGGCACATAATAGGTAGGCCACCATCGCCTTAATGAAGGGACGGACAGTTACAACCGTACCTTCTCCGGGATTCGAACCCACTCCCTTCGGTATCGCAGTCAGGTTTCCCTAACCACTACCGCCTGGGCGGCTTTTCCAAATTAAACTACTTGAAAATATAGTTAAATGTCATAATAATTAATAGCAATTTTTTATTACTTGTTAATGGCCGTTTTCCTGTTATTAACTGTCTTTAGATTAACAGTTTGATATGTTCTCCGATTATACCCCAGTAAATCGGTTGTCGACTGTGAAATATAAATTAATTCGTCAAAATCAGATTGAAACGAAAGTTTGGTTTTGTTGCGCGAATTTCGCAACCATTGCACTAACACGGGCATTTCAAGTCTAATTATTAGAAACACGACTATATAGTTATTTAATGTATTAATGTACTAGAATAGATAGGTTCATGCAAAATGCTATAAAAAAGGATAATAAGAAAAGATGCCAGAAAAAATAAAATAATTTAAGTGAGCTCATTCACACCTGGAGGTGGCTTTGTGGGAGGATCCAAAGGAACAACCACGAGGGTGTTTCCATCCAAGTCATTGATGGTTAGCTGACCGTTGTCGATCATCCGCATAAGTTCATCTGCTGCAGCTTTTATAGCTTTCTCGTCAGCTAAATGTCCGTGATCCGAGTTTGGTACCATGTCGAAATTGACTTCGATGCTACCTAAATTGACATGAATGGATATTAATAAATCTGCATATTTGAGCTCCTGAGTTGAAGTGTATCACATTTCACCTTCACTATAATAATAACAAAATTGATGTGCATACAACATTATTCTTTTGTACTAACTCGAGACATGAAAAACGAAGGTTAAATTTCATCAATTGACCCAGTAGAATGGAAGTTATAGAACTGTCTCATTTTTTTGGGTAAGGTTTACGTAGGAATTTTACTGTATGAAGTATTTAAAATGGTACTTTCATTTGTTGTTTTTTTTAACCCATGCTAAATCTTAAAAAGCTATCAGGTGATTTCTTAAAAAATATAAGTGTGGTCTAATACATCGTTTCAATCATTTCAATCTCGGCATCGAAACCTAAACGTTTATTCCTCCTGCCAGCGGCCGAGAGCTAAAATCGCTGAACGGGCTGGTTGTATGAACATTTTAATGGTTTCACCATGTGGAACCTGAATACGAGCCATTTCCATTAGAAAATCCTCCACAAAGGCATCCCTCTCCTCAGGTAGAGAAACCTCGAATGCTCCGCGGCAATCAAATAAACCAAGCCAAACCAAACCAATCCTACTTTTTCAACTTTCTACTTTGTGATTTACAATGTAGCGTGCATGTTGGAATTCGGATCTGTAGTGTTGTTTAAAGTGAATAATGTTTCTGAGAGTGACAAGTATTCAGTAGTCAGTTACTGGTGCGGCCTTCATGTTCAACAGAGCCAAGATGACTGAGCCCAAGTGTTGTTTACTGACGAGTCCAGATATAATCTAAATATTGATTCTAGACGTGTTTTGATCTGGGGAAAGGAAAGAACACTCAACTTGCTTTCCCTTGCCTGTGAAATATACCGTTTCCGCGACGGGGGTTTAATATTTTGGGAAGGAATCACGACAAATGGTCGTGCCGAGCTGCATATATTCCAAAGAGGTTCTGTAACCGCTCGAAGATATGTGGAGGAGGTATTAGAACACCAAGCTAGACTGTTTAGGGGTGTTATTCGCCCAGGGGTTTTGTTAACTCGGCCTCACTGAGCATATGTGGCGTCAAAATATTTGCAAACAGAATCTTCATGAATGGACTGGCCACCTTACTCAACTGACCTGAACCCGATTGAGCATCTGTGGGATTTCTTAGGGCATGTAATTTCAAGGTGCCAAATTCCTCCCGGGAGCATCCAGGAGCTGAAAAGTGGACTTTTAGAACAGTGGCATGCAATTCCACAAGATTTAACGAACATTTTGGTAAATTCTATGAAATCAAGACGCGAGGTATGCATGTCTGTCCGAGGTGATCATACACCATGTTAAAAAAATGTTTTCCACAAGAAGTGACTTAATATTTCCAACATTTTCCAGTTTCAATAAATTTGATTTTAATTTCCACATTTTGTGAATAAACAACTGCCAAACATTGTACTTTACGTTAACTAATGCTTTTGTGCAATTTATTAATAATTTTTATTAAGTTGTAAGGATTATGTTAATTTTCCTAACAGATAAATTTTGAGTTAAAGTTCCTTTCCTGTCTTCCTGAATTTCAACTTACAACTTCCAACCAGAACGTAGTTTTAGTATCGCGTTTGAATGCAAATGAGGAGAAGTATTTAACCGTGAAATTCTACTGACTTCGGGAGAGAGAACCAGTGATTCTGACTAGCACGCGTCCGCCGTTTTAGGCTGCTCTCTCTTAAGCTATTATTACGCTCGGCCGTACTTAGGCCCTTGATAGCTTCATCGTTATTTAGAGCTAAGGGGTCAACTCAGTTAGAATCTTGATAACTTTTATATCTTTTTAGTTAAGATTAGTCAAATATTAATTTCTTAGTTTGTATATTAGGTATTTCTATAGCTTTCCTAGCGTGCCGCCGTGATGTAGTGGTCTGCACGCTGGGCCGGTATTCCAGAGGACCGTGGTTCGATTCCCGGCGAAGGCGTTTGCTCATTTTTCATCTTGCCTGCTTCCAAAAATACCTAATGTCTCTACAAAGTCTCAGTTAAATTTTATTACTGTCATTATCCTTTAATTTTGATGATTAGTGTATAGAACATACTATTGTTTGACACACCCTGTATTGCTTGATATAATTATGCATATTAAATAAGCTGTAAAGGAAAAACAAAAAGATTACAGTGATAACTATCACCGCATGATGAAATGAAAATAGTTTCAAGCATTTTCTACTTTAAAAGTTCTGCTTTAAAAAAATGCTTGTAAAATCAGCGAAATATTAACTCTGAAATAAACTACTTAATTGGGAGAATGGCGGATTAACATATCAAAATTGAAACGATCAGAAAGAACAGTGGAGCCCATAGGATGAAATCGAATAGCAGGAGCAAAATATTCTGCTTCGAAATACCTGCATGTTATTGAGCATAGAACTAACTAAGAAAAATTAAGGCACGAAAGAAGGATAAAAAGCATTTGGCAAAAATTAAGACAAAAGTTCCTAAAATGCCAAATCTGACATTCCTAGCAGAAAATCACCGCATTTACGACAAATCCTACCACTATGTAATAATAATGATGATGATGATGATGTAATAGTATCAGCATACACACACAGAACGAAAAAATAAAATTTTCAACTGAAAAAGAATGCATACAAACAAAACAAAACTTTGAAGAAATATTCTGTAAGACATTGTACAGCAAAAACTAAGTCAAGAGTTCATACTCGTCATCATTATGTGTATCTATATCATTATGTGTTATCTATATTTATACTAAATCAATATTTAAGAGTTGTAGATAATAATTTATTATTATTAAAAGGGGCTCTCTTCTAAATGCCAGTGTGATTGAACGTTCCCAAATATAATGGTTAATATCTGCCATTTAAGTCTGCACATTTACGTAATATATTCACTTTGAAGGAACAAGTTATGCATTTGGAAATTTTTCTGATCCTATAAGAGTATAATTTAAGAAATCCTGAATTTAAGAATCCTGAATAATAATCCTGAATTTAAGAAAAGTCTGACCGTTGCATGTCATTCAAATTTTTCAGTAACACGCAACGTTTCATACATTGATCTTTGACAACGCATGTTCTCTAACGACGGTATTCTTCAACTAGATGGGATTAGATAGAAACAGAATGCCATTTCTGCAGCAACAAGTGTCATTTCAGGGGATCGAAGCTGAGACCTTTTCTTGACCTCGTTCCACAAGGCATGTATGAGAAATATTTAGTTCCTTAAAAACGAGGAAGTGGATTAACAGAAGACATGTGCGACAGAGGTATTGCATGTATGGTCACATTCTTTCAAGATGTTGTAATATGCGAGAAGTTTCACTCTGCATATTACAAGTATTTGTGTAAAACGCTTACGCAACAAAATGCTAAGGCAAAATATTTCATTATATTGAAATGAAATTTATAGTTTGGATTTTATTTTTAAGTTGCTCAACTTATCACGCAAAGAAGGTTAAGCAAATTTTAAAGATGATTAAAGCGATTATCTGGAGCAATGTGAATAAGAATATATGTTCACACTTCTCAAAATTTGTATGTTCTCTTTATATTTCATTTAAAGGTCAGTGATATTATACCTCATAATTATTCTATTATGGATAATATAGAGATATTCAGGGTAATGAGTAATCGTTTTGTCGCTCAAGACATAGATATCGATACTTTATTCTCCTTAAATACACTTTGCAGTTCCGCCGAGAGTACGTATTTCATAAAACATTTCGTCTGAATCTTGTACAAATCTGGAGAATAATGCTGTATGGAGACAATTAAAATAAATTGTAAAATTGTAGTAATTTTTATAGGAACGTTTAACCCATTAACGGTTTCACCCGGATTTTCTCGTTCTTTTATGCAGCGCTCTTAACGGTTCGTTACGGATTATTGTTAGTTTAAATGTACCCTCGAAAACGGACAGTCCCGTGTTTTTGTATTATCGAAAAAACACGCCAAAAAGGACTAGCCCGTATTTTTGTATGTCTTCTAACCCCCAATGCCTAAAGGGACAAGGGTCCATGCAATCCTGACGACAATGGGTAATGGCTGTCATTAGCGTGGGGAGAAATCTCCTTCATGTTTTGGGATAAAGGCCTTACACTGACTCTAAAGAAACAAATTTATTACCAGTTACAAAGTGGATGCATATATAAAGGGATTTAAGAATTTCCGTTTTAGAGCAGTTATTGAATAAAAAATAGAATTTTTTACAAAATGAACGTTTACCTATAAGATCATTAATGAATTAAAACGAGAAAAATAAAAGTAATAAATGCAAACATAAAAATCTGAGAAAGCAAATCTTTCAGATTTTACATTACGCCCAAAGGGCGTTTTTTTTAACGGTTTGTGGGTTACCTTTATTTTTAAATATCATGTTCTTCGCACTTAAACCATGAAACTTCAGTTAAACAGCAATAAATTTTAAATGAGCATATCTTTAGAATTTCCGATACACAGTCTCGCCCGTTGAAGATAATTTTTTATATTATTATTTTCATACAGTGTTGTCTTTGCTCGCTTTAAAATCGTTGAGTTTCTTAATAAAAAATTCATTGAAGTTTTACGAAATAGGAAACATATAATAAAACAAATTCCAAATCTCGGCTTCGAGATGCCCATATTCGGGTGGAAATGTACGTTATTCGAAATTGGATGGGTCTAGTTACCGTTGTTTTATCACAATGCGAGAAACATACATATATTTATGCAGATTATTCATTATTTAATTTCAAGGCAGATAGCCCTCGAGTGCTCTGCCGTAATCTAATAAACCAAAACCATTATTTAATTTCTTTAAATATAATACAGGGCTGTAATATGTGGTAGCAACAGTTTGAAAAGTGAACTGACATAGTTTTCAACGGAAAATGAAAAAATGAAGTTAATAGACCTTTCTCGGCTAACGCCCTTTGTTTAAAATGAGCTAAAAATAATGTATCGTGTAATTTAATGGGAATACGAGATTAAATAATTCTCTTTAAAAATTCTTCTACAAATTTATATCACGAA